CACAGATGACGACCACCTAAGGTGACGATCGTGAACACAAGGCACAGCTATTTTTTTCACCTTTTTTATTTTATATGACCCGTCTTCACGCCTACTGTGCGAGTCCTAGTACTTCACACGTTCGACTCGTTTCATCACATCCATTATCCACGAAGATCCTCCAACTTTTACGTGTGGCTTCGGTTGTTGCTTGAGGAATTTCATTTTAACTTGAATGTCGTAGTAAGGTAGACCAGCAATCCCTCCTGGAGTCCTGAGATAACCGGACTCGAGCGTTCCCAATTGAATTACAAGAGGAACTTCTTTCCCAGACAAGTCCGGCACCAATTTCCCGACTCCGAAGGGATGAGCGGCTTGGTTGGCCCGAGTGGAATCGAAATAGCACCATTGCTCTCACAGCAGTTTAGGGACTCGAATTGAAAAACTTATTTTAAATAAAGGCCATTTAAATGGAAAATGTGTTAAAAATTTTTTTTTGATTTATGAATGCCATTGAAGTCAACGATATAATGACTGCTATCCTTTAGCAATGGATCATAGAGTAATTTAAAAAAACTCTACAAGAAAGAACCGGAATCAATAGGCCGCACATCAATCTTAGCCGTGTTGGACGATGGACATCGAATTTTTGTCTCCATTTCAAAGCAACACATCTAAAAAGCCTACAGTAACAGGAAGCCTCTCCTCACAATCTTAAAGAATTTCCCTAAACATAGGAAGAAAGACATAACTGAAGAAATTTTGCAGTAGGGCTCACCATCCTTACACGCGTAGAACCCTCGAAGAATTCTATATAAATTCCAAGAATCTAAAAATGACTAGCTTCGACGAACGCCTCGTTATCACGCGATATTTAACACTACATTATTGGAACAGCATTTGATATTGATATTTTAACGTAAGAATGGCTCATTACGCTTTGTGTGGGTGAGGAAGCCGTTTTTTTTCTAACACGACTGAAAACGAGGTATCGTAGTTTTTCCGCTGAGGTTATGGAGATTTTTGACTGACTAGATTGCAGTTGATTTGACCCTTGCAGGCTCTGAAGAAGGCGTAATTTGCCTAAACATTAGCCCTTGTGAATAAATAGTATATAAGAGCAAACCTGTGTGCTGTTATCAAGAAAACAGCGAATTACATATTAGCGGCAAGGAAAGTTAAAAGGTTAAAAAGTCGGCCAGCGGGATAGAAATTACCGTCCTTAAAGATGCGGTTGATCACATCTTCATCACATCATCACACCATCGTCACACCATAACCCAACTAGAAAAGCGATAATAAGAGTATCGGATAATCAGTATCGGTAAATTTAAAACCGCCGCTTCATTTCTAATTTCCAGCACCGAAATCGTTTGTGCACAAAGAAATTGCGTCATTACTCGCAAACTTTGTTGGGCACATATCCGGTTGCTACCCGTCGACTGCCACAAACTACTACCACGTAGCTCTATCAAATTTTTCCCCATTTTCTGCGTCAAAAGTGGAACGATGTTATCAATTGCTACCCAGCAGCTCGGTTGGCTGCTAAGAGTAAACTAGATGCACTCCACGGTCAGTGTAATAAAGTGATCTGCAACGAGAAGTTGCTTTATAAATTTATGGTCTGATAATGGTGGAGCAACGCCCGTGTCACCAAAACTCCGATTCTTCCGAGCTCAGGGAAATAGTGATGGACATGTTTAGAAACATAACATTAACATCTGGTACTCCACATAATGTTTCTCCATGTCTGTTCTGGTAGAGATTGTTGACAAGCAATACGTAAATATGCCTAATTCCACGTTCAAACCTCAGCGAGCTATAAGGGGTATCGATTGCTAAACACAGTAAAAAAAAAAGTGGACCATCTTTTCCTGATCCAGAAAGATCCCCCGAGCGTTAGGTAGGACGAGTACGGGAAAAGGTCTAAATAAAAAAAAATCAAGTGACCATCGTAGGCTTCTTAAATCGTAAAGTGCTAAGGAGATGATCTGTGCCTGCAGTGTAAACTCATCTGCACCTGAGCCCTCAATAGAAGAATGGAGTACTTGATCACGCAAACAAGAAAAATAAGGTACGACGTCATCGGACTGGACGAGACGAGAAAGAGCTACACATTCAACGTTGTCTCTGACATCAGAGAAGAACTGTTTTTCTGAACATGCGACAATAGGGGAGTCGGCGGCGTCGGCGTTCTCGTCATCACGAGTTTGGCCACGAACATCGATTCATTCGAATAGATTAGAACACGAATGAGATGCTTACAGTTGAAGAGATGTGGACCGCTACAAACTTTTAGTCTTCGCCCTTTACTCGCCGATTAATTTGAACTTGAAGAAGCACTACGGAGAAGACATTGATTCCTTAGAGCCTTCCATCATTGGAGATTTAAACAGTAAGATTAAACCCAAAGGAACGTTTGGAAAACATAACATTACTACTCACAGATTTGAATGAAACGAGCAGTGTGGGCGATTGTCTGAGTTTACTGTGACGACCAAGACCGTTTGTGGTAACTCGGAATTCTGGAAACTCCCCTATCAGCGCTGGACGTGAAGGCCTTCCAATAGGGTATCATAACGATATAGACAACATAGTATCAAGTCGAACTTGTTGCCTAAATGATTCGCTGTTGTTTCGAAATCATACACGGGGTCAGACGATCATCTCATCATGCAAGATGTCATTTGCCTCGGATGTAATAAAAAACCGCTTAATTTAAAGAATATGGTCTTAAAAACCACCATGGGATTTATTTAGTTCATTAGTCGGCTGTTAAGAAAAAGCCGTTGATAACACGGACTAGGAACACGGTAGGCTCATTCAACATCTTCACGTTAGCACTTGGAAAACTGAGAGTCTGAAAGCCACCAAAAGACGTCTCTCTCCAGAAACACTCGAGGTGATACACCAGCGTAGTGTCGCATGAGTTACATTCGCGTCTCAACTTGCAAAATAGGAAATAAAAAACTATCTCGAAAACAGACGATTAGCAGTTATGGCAAAACTTGCATAGGCTCAGAACTGCACTCGCAAAGACCATCGAATCCTCACCAATATCCGTCGCCCAGACAGAACGGTTATAGCTTCCAGAAAGGTTATGAAGAAAATCATTCATAATTACTACCAAAATCTTTTTAATATCCACATTGTTCTGCCTTCATACGAAGTAATGGAGAAGGAATGTGTCGTCGTAAGGTTCTCTCTTCCAATATCTGATAGGTCATTTCATCGGCGAGCAATCGAACAGCACCGCGTCCGGACAGAATAAGATCTGAACACCTGGAGATCCTTCTGCCAGTCGTCTTAGACACAATGAGTTGGCTCTTCACGCGTTATCTGTCAGAATCCAATGTTCCAATTGACTGGAAGACCTGCAAGACCGTGATATTACTCAAGAAATGTGACTTCGGCGTTATCGGAAGAATCGTCTAACCTGTTTGCTGCCTGTCGTCTAAAACCCTTTTCTCACATTATTCTAAACAAAACTCGCAGAACACTTGACAAAAGATAGCCATGTGAGCAAGCAGGATTTCGAAAGGATTCAGTAATATGGCCAACATCCGCGTGATAACATGACTCAGTGAAGCATCGCGAGAAAACAAGACATCGCTCTATCTCATTTTCGTCGATTAAGGAAAGCTTTTGACTCAGTTGGGATAACAGCAGTCATGGAAGCCCTGGAGAGCCAAATCGTTTCTAATCACTATATAACGATTCTTCGTGAGCTGTATAAAATTTCCACGACTAAAATATCACCATTACATAGCGATGTTAACATCGACGTAAAAGGAGGGGTTAGGCAAGGTGATATTATCTCTCCAAAATTAGTCATTGCCATCCTCCAGAGCGTTGTACGAACAATGCAGTAAGGACATAGTACTTCCATTGATAGATTACTGGTGGAATAGATAAGAACGGAAACACTCGATGTTTTAGAATCTTGAAGTTCATCACCCTCTCTCAGTAATTCATGCATGAAACGTCCTTTAAAACACTACACATTAAGAATCTACGAGATACACTGGAGTGATAAGAAATCACACTTTTTTTACTATTGTTTCTATTAGAGAACATGAAAGTTTGTGATGGCAAACAACTTTATAATGGCCTATAGGAATAAGCTGAGGTGCTAGATGGTCTGCAAAAGTATAACGTTCCTATATGTAACGATATAAAAGATACAAAATAGAGCTGGTAAAACACTTTACTGTATTCTTTCTTTGATGAGCTTACACGAGGTTGATAATGATATTTATTTATTTTCGACTAACGTTTCGACGTCTTCGTCTTCCTCAGAGCCGATGATCCGAGTCGATGGTCCTCGTTTGTTATTCGTATTACACTTTATACTTTACTATATTCTCCATGAGAAAACACAAGGTCGACACTTTCTTCTTTGTATACGAAAAAGCCAACGTTTTGGCAGATTCGCCTTCCTCAGAGTCTGGAAAGGTCAAGTCGACCTTAATACCTAATCAATGGTGAGGTTAGTAGCAAACCGGTCTAACTTAAAGAATTACTGGCAGAGAATGTCGAAATGTATTGAAATAACAGCGAGCTTAGGAGGTAAATCTATGCGTAGGATCTTGTTCTACATTGAATATATTCGTGCAGAAGAACGGAACCTTTGGTTTCGTCGCTCAACTATACGCATTCCTTCATGAGTTCGTGAAGTTATAGAGAAATGTTTATGGTATACCCCAACGATTTCACTAGGACATTAAAGTATAAGAGTTTATGACACAGGTTAACTAGTTCTGCTTAGGTCTGGCAAAATTACTTAAGAGCAAGAAATCAGCCTTTGCTTCTTATTACACACTCCACGTGATGAGCATGAAAGGTGGAACGTGGCAACATTAGCTGGCCTTGACTTTTAACAACTTATATTCATATCAGATTCGATTTATTACTGGAGTGCAGAATATTCTGCTTCTGGTTTCGGGTTGTTTGAAGGGGATTTTCTTCAAAAACGATCATGAAACAATCTCACGCTTTTGGATTGTCGTAGCTCGAATGTAATGTTTTCTCAGCGTGTTCAGGTGTTGCCGTTTATTGCGGAGTGTTCAAGGAAAGGAAACACGGTGTCCCATGTATGGGATTGTTTGTCGTCCCGCCACGATCATACCGAATGCTGCAAGCGTCAGGTTGGCCATCGTGCTCCTCTCGTGTTACAGTGCTACTTTTAAAACACTTGGTCCTTTTGATGACAAATGTCACCTTGCTAATAACCATTAAAGGTCACAGTAATATACAATGGTATATTTCACGTGTAACAGAATGGTAACAGGTGCCTCACAATAGACAGATAGTGGTTGGTTCCATCCCGCTCGTTGGTTCCGCGAATCGCCACTAAATTTTTATGGAAGGATAAAAACCTTGAGACCATACATCGGTTGAACTGCGCAATTGATTAAATAGACGATATATGCATTTACTCACATCTACGATATTTGACGACGTAGGATGCACAGGACAACTCTGAAAGATTGATTGACCCCGGACCCTATATTTCCTATCGATCAAGTGCGGCCAGATAGGGCGATGCTGGGTGGTAGACATCTCAACCGAATGTCAGATCACTATTGAAGAGCGTTCTAAGCATGTATAGAAAAGAGAGCAGTTCGTTTCCCTCCCAAATAGTTGGATTCAATTCCTAGTTATATGTTTTAAACTAGCTATTAACACTCTTTGTTCGGTTTCCTTTTTATGGGAAATCACCTAGAATATCTGGAATAGTTCTTCAGGATTCTTCAGTGTTTTCATCAATATTTGCTCCGGTTACTGCGTGCTGTGATGAGGATGTACTAAATCGATTTGAACTGTTTAGGGAGTGCTGCCTCGCTGTTTGCCATACTGCAAGGCGAACGGAGCTGTACCCACGAATCTACGCAAGTACGGTATCTGCGTCGGCCAGTTCCACAAGTACCGCGTGTGCTTCCAAGAATATCTGAAGAATAATCCATCCATAAGAGGAGATCAGTAATAGACTGAATTTTTCTTGTTTCCCCAGCGAACACCATCATCGAGGTTTATATAGTGTGCAGACAGACAGTTTGGACAAAAATATGCAGTTATACCATATTTACTTGCATTTTGCTCGGCAAACCTTAGAAAAAGTGGTCCTCAAGCGAAAATTCACTTGAACAGGTTTTTAATAAAGTGTTTGCGATACCTCTTACAAGAGGGAATGTATATTGGAATAAATCAAGGACTTCTGTTTTTCTCTACAAATTGGACGAACGACGTTTCCTTTCTAGAATTTTTTAACCCTTTCATAACATCTGCGTAAGATTTAGTGCTTGTTCGTGATTCTGTAATGGTTTGAAACAAATGTAAATTTTAACAACAAGGTCTTTGATGTGGTTTGTGCTTTGCTTTTGAATGATTATTAGTGAATGGTCGAGGATTACTTCATCGAAGTGAAAGGACGCGTTAATTCTTCTCCATTTTTCACTGATGTATCGTTGGATCAGCTTCCTGCTACAGTAGTAAACGACATATTCAGATGGCACCTTCGATTGACTCTTCAGAACGACTTACGAATTCTGGTTTTTCGAGATACATTAAGAACTCGATTGTAACCAAAAGTCAGACTGGTGTCCTTCATTCGTCATTCCCTCAGAGGAACCTCGGCGTACTTGAAGAAGAACTGGTAATGTTTTACTTTTTCCTCACTTGCAAATTTTTGGTCCAATTCCTGCTTAACGCAATAACTTCAAACCAATGTACGGGTAACTCCCACGACCGACTTTCTATTAACCTCGGTATTGATCGAGTAATTCTTCGTATTTTAAGATAAAGATAAAGAGATAAGATAGAGGCAGATAAAAATAAAAGATAAAGATAAAGATAAAGATAAAACGTAAAGGCAGTATATGAGACTGCTATTCTATTCTGGGGCACATTATGCTTCCATGTGATTTCTGAGCGGTTGGTCTCTACGTGACATACTTAGTGGAAACATAGGAAGCGGTGAGTGTGCAAAGCTGTGTTCAATGTGATTGAAATCTTGGTTTAGAGTTTCTTTGTTTGGTTACGGAGGCGTCTGGCCGAGTAGATTGCTATCAACTTGACTTTTCCAGGCTCTGAGGAAGGCGAAATCCGCGAGAAATGTCAGCCTATTCGTAAATAAAGAATAATAACACCTCGCGTTTGCTCAACAAAAATACGAAGAATTACTTGATCAATGTACGGGTCTTTGTTGTGCTGTGCTTCGCCATTATTATTATGAGACTTCTGAAGAGGTAAACCTAATGGGAGGTGTAAACTCACTCGAGGAAGTTTTGAAGGGAGAAACGCTTCACTGAGTGCGATAACTATGTAGGCTCAATAATGATGATGATGTGGACGAACAGTTCGATTAAAATGAGAGCAACGGAAGGTCTCATTGTGTCGTCGTACACACCTTGTTTCACTATCTCCTAGGAAGCTTTCGTCAACACTTTTGTGTAGATGATTTTACGATATCGTAACCCGCTGTTATAGGACATGTGGCGCAGTGGTCAGAGACTCCCTGCAACACACGCGTGGGATCGATCCACGCACCCGTGGCTCACCAAGCCTTCTATCCCGCCGGGGTCGACAAATTGGTACCAGACTTATCTGGGAGGATAGCAGCACTGGCTCGATATATCAGTAGGCTACCGTGAGTAATTGTAAAGGAGATATGCATCCAATCACCTCCAACGATGCTTAAGGAAGTTGAATGCACGGCACATCCCTCAGGAATCAACGCCGAGAGCTTCATCCTTTTTCTCCTTTTTAACGGGCTTTAGGATTCACATATGGTGATTTTTGTGTTAGCTCACGACTTTCTTAGAAAAATAATCATTCATTTTGGTGTCTGAACTCATTTTGGAAGGTATTATTTAACGTCGAAGACTTTTGCATACGTTCTGAAGCAGTTGAAAAGGGTCGAACCGATTTCCTACCTTTAGTTCAGAACTATGGTACATTCGCAATCACAATTTTACTTCATTTTATTCTTTGTTTGACTTGACATCATGTATTGCGCCGACCCCAGTAGTTTGTCATTCGACTCGTTTTCTCGCATCCATCATTGATATAATAATGTTTTTATTTTATTTTTATTTTCACAAAATCACTACTAATATAAAGCTACTTCAAATTACCTACCCTGCCGATAGCTCTGAGTCTAGGAACGGCTTCTGTCATACTCCGGCTATCTTTTCGTTGGGAAATTCTGAAATCATTTAATAAAACTGAATATCTAGCGGTGAAACTGGAAAGTGCCTTTGCCTTTGCTGTCGATCTTTCATGTACGTAAGCTCATGTACCCATTGAACTCCACATAGATACCCCAATCCTCCCAACGGCCCAACGGTTTACCGTCTCATCGTGGCTGGGAGGTGCTCCTGGGTGTCGGACTACGATGTAGAGCAGAGGGATTCATCTCCTTGGTAGGGTCTTCCAAGCTAAGAAGGAGTCCGGCGTTTCCATCAGGTAGCCTAGCTAAAAGTAAACCAATACTAGGATTCACCACCGTCTTGGTATCAAGGTCGCATGGTGGCAAATCTTGCTCTGATCCACAAGGGCTGCGACTGCCTGTGGTGGTGAAGACCTGGGACAGACTTTGCCCAGGCAGAACCCGGAATTCCAGGGATGCACAATGGCTTAACTAGTAAACCTCCGATAAATGATCACTATGCTGGAGCCCGCACAACCAGTGAAATGGACCGTTCAAGTATCAAGTATCAAGTAAGCAGGATGTCCCAATATTGTCGGCAGAATTCGAGTTTTACTGTGCAAACCGTAATTCGTTCTTGTCTGAAAACTGTTTGAGATATTCGTTAGAGGTCTTTTGATTTGGCTAGAAAAACGTAGTTGTGTTGGTTTTAATTTGGTTCTTAAAATTGTTTTTTTTGCAATATGCTTATCACATTAAATTCCTTTTCTTCGATCTTGGACAACTGTACTACGAAAAGTAGGAATATGTCCGCCCATAAATCGAATACATGCTCAATCTACAAAGCTAGAAAAGTAATGTCTTGAAATGCTCCATGAAAACTCATGGTCGATGAGGTGAAATAATACCGTACGCTACTTTTATTTGTCCTTGAATGACGTTTCGACTGATTTCACCTTTCTCACGGCTTCATAAAAAGCGGTCATCTTCGCTAGCAGCTCAACCGGTGGTAAGACACAGTACTAAAACATACACATGAGTGCAGGTTCCAATTGTACAGTAGGTATGTGAGGGGGAATTTGGCACAGTGGTGGTGATGAAGATCATCACGAGTGCGGTGCTGCTTCGATTCTGCGTCTAGTTCGCCAAGCCTCTCATCCTCCAGGTTAGGGAAGTTGGCACCGGACTTGTCTGGGAAAGAATCGCTCTCTGTCTTTCAAATGGAGACGCTCTAACCCGGCTATCTCAGAACTCCAAGAAGAGCGGACTCGACTAGCATTCAATGACATTCGAGATGAAAGGAAAAATCCTCTAACAGCAGCCGAAACCATACGTAAAAGGTCGAAAGACCTTCGTGAATGATGGATACAAGGAGACGAATCGAATGTGAGAAGTGCTGGAATCTGCACAGTGAATGTGAAAGAATGTTTGTATAAAATAACAGTAGGCATGATATCTTAGGACTTAAGTAGTAGGTGCCCATGACGAAGATGGTTGTAGCGAGTATAATCACCACGTAGTGCCCATTTAAAACGAGAACTAAGACCGACCTCGTGTTATGACGTTAGCCTGACATCTATGTCGTGGTGTCGTCAAAGGGTCCGGTATTTGGTATCTCTCCGACAGTTTCCCGTTGATTCAAAATCCACTAGGGTTTTGAAATGACACGTTTTTTTCTCTGTGCTATGTTCGAAAAAATCTCCATAGTTGGGCTTTTATACTCGATGATATGATAACTAGTTACTCTGGCGTATACTTATTATCTCTATCTAGCTCTAGATCTAGCGTTTTTTTCTAAGTAGAAAGATACCCCGATACTCTTGTCGATAATACAGTCGTCCAAAAACAGGCCACAAATTTATCACGTTGGAAGTGGATGAACTCATGCTGTTTCTATCCACGTCGTTTATCAGTGCTCTCGCTCTGTGCAAAGACCATCACGAACTGGTTATTATTTTTAACAGGCCATTTGGTGATAGTTTGAGTCTCCAACCATCAAAGTATTTCCTTTAGTTTACTAATCTCCAAAATTGTTGAATAGGGCCCATTCTATTGCAAATGGTCTAATCAATTTTTATAACACTATAGTTGAAGGAAAAGAGAGCTGCTAATCAAAAGAAAAGTGTAAATGGAAAAACAAGCAGTTTGCCAAGCTTAAAAAAAGACAACTTCATTGAAGAAAGAAGAAAACGATTCTGAGATCTCCTATTCTTCCGATTCATCCCGATCGTCACAGAACAGGTTCGAGATTTTCGCACATCAACGCACTGGTCGATGCATTCGGCTAAATGGCTTATCATTACCTGAGACTTTCACCCTAAGGTCTCATTCTTCTCTTACCCAGTACTTTTCACTAAATTTTTTTCAGGCTACGCCATGGACTCTATTTTTTCATAGTGAAACTTTTATTGAAAAATATCTAAGTGAAAAAGTCTGAGGAAGTCCAGCGACTTGTCGAAGAAACCGGTCGAGTACCTTCAATGAAAACATGGTTTGGTGATTTATAGGAGAAGAGTTTTCATCCATCATCGTTCAATCATTGCAAATCAAAATAGCTAGTTTTGTTGTTACACTAAACACTAAACCTTAAAACTATATAAGCAATCCACACATTCATTATAAAATCGGAAAGAAATCTGTCACTTTGTCTCTAGAACTTTCTGGTGGAACTCCTATTGTAATGTCTTAGCTCTTACTTACTGCCCATTCTTTCTTCATGGAAAGATACGACGCAGACTCCAACCACAAAGATGCTGAGATATGACAAAACTCGAGACCTTAGTTAGGCTTCGAACCTCCGACTACTCTTCGTGGTAACTCACATACCATCCGTCACGCCAACCGGACCCTTGATTTCTCAGCCGCTTTTTTTCACCCTGTCTGCGCTATCAACAAAGCTGGCCCGAAAAAAATTGCCGAAGGAGGACATAAGTTGATGGTGGATAGTGCGTGAGCTAACGCTAAGTGTAGTCACGGGTTCGAAGCCCAAATGATGTTTCGAGTTTTGCTTATATCTCACCGCGATTGTGGTTGTAGTTCACATTGGAAACTGCTGTTGTTTTTTGAATACTTGCATCATTAAAAAAAACCTTCTGTCCAATTTTTTTCAGTTAGAACTTGTTGATGCCTATTTTGTTCTCTAATCCAAAAGATATAGATAGCTAGACAATCGGAACCGGTTAGATCAAAGCCGAGGCCAACGAATTCCGGTCATTCTAGCATCATTTCAGTCATGATGACTATTGGTGTCATGCAGTGTGTGTTCCGGCGTTGAAAGACAGTACTGGTTTTGGATGCGCGTATTGGTTGTATGTGGTAGTAGCCTTAAATTCACTGCCAGTTTTCGATTCCGTAGCCAACTACCTCCGTCGTCGCAAGGAGGATCTCCCAGTTTTACGCCAAATCTCTTTCTCCACTTATTCATGCCTGACATAATATAGGAGGCTTTCACATGTTACGCATACTTTTGTCTTTGGCCCCATTTTTTTTCCGAAATGCTTAAGGAAAGTGGAGAAAAACTGTTGAAGACAAAATTTATCAGGAACTTGAATAAGTCAGACTTTCAGGACCTTCAAAGTTTCACCTAAATAGCTCTCCTTGCTAAGAAACCAATTCAAGCACTTAACACACTTTGTTTCCAACTTTTATAATTAGACCTAAATGATTCTCATTGCCAACACACATGCAACTAGGAAAACCATTGCATCGTAACGATTTATTCTACCGTTAGTTTTTTACAACATTACTTTTATGACTGAGTACATAAAACTCTTAACGTCCTGGAGCTGACCATTAGGTTAAGAAGAACTCTTCATACCGAGTTGGAGAATTTCTGTTGTTTTCTTTTCTCATCTATAGCCCTAAGGCCTTATTGAAACTTTAAGCTTCCTTGTGTTTAATCTACTTCAGAGCTTTATAGATCAATTTATTAAATTAGTCGGTAGCATTTTTGTGCAGTATTTCGATACATAGTCGTAACGTATTGTTTTGCTCTTCTCTGTAGATGCTGCTGCTGTTGCTGACGCTACTCCTTTTACCACCGGCTCTCTGTCAGCAAAGGAATCCGTTCTCTGCCTGGCAAAAGCAGCAAAGATCTCGTCGGCAGCCGGCATTCGCTGCAACTCAGCAAGATCTCAGCAGAGTACAGGCCATGTCAGTAACCAGTGTTCACGACTCTATCAAAGCCTTTTCAAAGGATCAACATACAATAGTTAAAAAAATAAAGGATTTTAAATTTTTATTTACTGCATATCTTCCCAATGGTTTACCGCCTCATCGTGGCTGGGAGGTGTTCGTGGGTGTCGGACTACGATGTACAGCGGCGGGATTCGTCCCACCGGCAGGGTCTCCCAAGCTGAGAAGAAGTCCGGCGTTTCCAAGACTAGCTAAGAGTAAACTAATACCAGGATCCGCCACTGTCCTGGTATCAAAGTCGAATGGTGGCAAATCTCCCTCTGATCCACAAGGGCTGCGACTTCCTGTGGTGGTAAAGAACTGGGGCAGACTTTGACCAAGCTGACCTCGAAATTCCAGAAAGCCACAATGGCTTAACCGGCAAATCTCCGATAAGTGGTGATTATGCTGTTGCCAGCACAACCACTGAGGACGGGCCGTTTAAGTGTCGAGTGTCATTTCCTGCCTATTGTTTCTTGCACGACAAGGTATTATGTGAAATGCAACCATAATGATGGTGTGACATGAGAAAGGTTCTGAATCCCAGGTGAGCTTCGATCCTTCAATTACCCTTTCCAGAGGTAATAGCAACGATGCGCTCGCTTTGCTTTTCACTCAGCCAGTTTATCCCTCACAGTACCATGAACAATAATCCGTCATTGGGAATAATCCACGAAGCACAAATCTGCATTGAAAAGCTGAAGCTGCAGTCGAAATGACAATGTTCAACCTCTATTTACTGCCTGTTATTTTTTCACAGCAGGATATTGCGTGTTGAGTATTCGGACCGAAGATTACCCGTTCAGGAGGTTTTAATAAAGATTGGTCCGCTGCTCATCCGTCATAATTGCTGACGTTTATCTCTTTCATTTTAGAACAAGATTTTACCATCCTTAGCGAGACTTGGACTTGAGTTTATGGATCCTGAATTACTCTTATGTTAGTTATATAGGTATGATCTGCTTTGAATTCGTAACCATAACAAGCTATCACTGGCATTGGATACCCGAGCGTTTTCCTAGTTTCACCTAGTTGAGATATTCTTTGCTCAGCTTTAGTCGTAATCGTAACTATTTTAAAGGCACATAAGTAATGTATTAGGTTCTTCAGAAATAAATGAGCGTTTTCAACTATATTATTTAAAATGTCATTACTTGCTTCAAACAAAACTCTATTAATCAATAAAAGGACGATTCAAATCTACACATTTTTGCTAATGATAAACAATTTTACCTATTCCAGTAGCATAAAGTTCTGGAGCTCTGGAAGCGATGAATTCGTTGAGGGCATTTTTGCGTAATCATGGTTGGTGAAGGATTTTTCGAGCAGGAAGTTGCGAAGGTGCTTGAAGAAGTGATAGTCGGTAGGCTAGAGTTTTGATGAGTATGGCGGATGAGGCAAAGTTTCGTAGAACAACTCGTTCAACTTCTGCAGTGTTCGTTCGGGAACGTGAGGTCGGACATTGCGGTGGGGAAGGATTGGTTCCCTTCTATTGACTAATGCCGATGGCTGTTGTCTGTTGTTGGAGTTTACGGTGCATTTCGTCGATTTGTTAGCAATGCTTTTCTCCCGCAATCGTTTCCCCTGGATTCAAAAAGCTGTGATGGATCAGCATGGCTGCAGACCATAAGTGAGTGCTGGAGTCCGATCGCAATCCAACTATTGAGCTGAACGTCGCCGATTGTCGGACAGAATTCATTCCTCGTCGCACGTCACAATATGTTCAAAAATGAGTCGTTTTTATTAGGCAGAATAAAAGCAGGTGACACTTCAAAACGGCGATTTTTTTGATTATCGTTTAATTCGTGCGGCACCCACTTGCAGAGTTTTTTGTCCTTCCTGTGTGATTCAAGTGAGTGGAAATTGTTCCTGTGCCTGCGCCAAGCTGTTGTGCTAGCTCTTGAACAGTTGTTCACGTGTTTTCATCCATTAGTGCCTTCAATTCGTCGTCGTCAAGTTCATTGTGACGTCCGTGGCCTTCCTTATCGCCGAGGCCGAAATCACCAGAGCGGAATCTCCGGAAACATGTTCGCATTGCTGATTCACCAACACTACCTTCACCCCATGCTTCTTTAATGTTTCGATCCGTCTCTGCTGCACTACGGCCGAGTTTAAATTTACAAAAGAGAATTTTGTGAAAACTCGTTTCTGACTTGGAACAATAAATATTTTGAAATGCCCATTTGTTTCTGAACAATTCAATAGGTAGGTAGTTAAGCCACAACCATGCATTATGAAGAAGAAACGGAACTATTCACAGTGTAGATGACTTCTGATGTACTCAAAAAGCTTTTTGAAGGGATAAAATTTACCTTGAAACAATCCAACAGCAATTCATGTATGCACAGTAAACGACAAGTAACTCTGCTGAATATAAAGATTAAGCTATCAGATTATTTAGTTATGGCATTCCTGGTCAACGAAATGCCAACCAAAAGCTCCGTACATGCTGTCGACGTCTGAAATCGGCCGATATCGAATGTCGTCGACGTTACTGCGATTTTAATGCACTTCGTCCAGAAATGGTAGGTTTTCTTTTTTCAATGCACTGTTTTTTTCTTGGAAGACATTGAACCTTAAAGGCCTCATAGAAGGTGTCATAAGTCTAAAACACAATTCGATTCCCATTCCAACCTGTGAGTACACTGAGCCCCCTAGTTTATTGCTCAGCAACCGCTACGTGGGTGTAAAACGCCGACAGAATAAAATAAACAGGCCTCATTCTCTGGACGCCGAGAGAACTCCCGATACGTCAGCACTAGCTAGGGCGAGTACGGAAAGGCTGATAAAACATAGGGCCATACCATGCTTTCTAAATCGCAAAGGAGTAATGTGACGCCTTGTTCTTAAAAAGCAAGTACACTGATATCTTAGCCCTCAATAGCGGACGTGTTCATGCACGTAAGAAGAATAAGGTACGATGTCATCAGCGTAGCTGTGACTACACGGCGCCACCAATTCAACAACGTCTATGACACCGAAGAAGAACTGTTCCTCAAAACATGCGACAATGGATTCGGCGGTGCCGGCGTTCTCGTCAACACGAGTTTGTCCATGGACATCGATTCATTCTAACAGCTTACAACCCGAATCGGACTTTTACGATTAAAAAGATGGGGATCAATACCGGCTTTGACAATTTTCGTCGTTTACGCTCCGAAATCAAACAATGACGAAGAAGAAGTCGCAGCGTTCTATATGGACTTGGAGAAGTTCTACGGAGTAGGCCACACATTCTTCAGGGTCATCATTGAAGATTTCAACGCCAAGATTGGACTAAAAAGGTCTGAAGAACGTCACATTGAGACCCACGGATTAGAATGTATCGAACAGGATGAGCGGCCATCTGAGTTTATCATGGCGACTAAAACAATCCATGATAACTCGCAATTCCAAAAGCCCCACCCTCAACACTGTACGTGGAAGTCTCTCATGGAGAGTACCGTTATGAAATAGACCACATAATAACAAGTCGAAGGTCTCGCGTAAAGGTTTCGCTGTTGTCCCAAAATTATACACAAGAGCAGACCATCATCTCCTTCGTGCATGATTTTACTTCTTGCGTAAAGCCAAAAAAACAAATTCAAACAACAAATTCCTAAATCACCATAAAGATTATTAAGTCCATAATTTCGCTGTTGAGAATATGGCGTTGCTGCTGAGATCAACAAGAGGATAAGACCGCTTTGTTCAACAAATTCACGGAAGCCTTGTCAAAGTTGAGAGTTTTAAAATCAGTAAGTGACGTCTATCTCAAGAAGCAGTCGAGTTGATGCGCGAATGTGGAATCGCACGAACCACAGGTAATCGCCAACTGATGTTCGATCTTGGAAAACAATGCAGACAGGCGATAAAAGAAGACCTAGTAGTTCTAGTCGAAGCTGCAGAGGCTAGGAGAAGCAATCGCAGAGCCAACCGAAAACCAAACCAGGATTATTGCACTGCGACGTCCACACGGAACAATTACAGAAAAGATATAACGTCCAGAAAAGTAATGGAGTTAGGTGTTCACGATTACTACTTAGATCTCTTTAATTACTACGCTTTTCAACCCTCATAGAAATAAAGGAGGATGGATATGTCATCCCGCCGGTTCCTCCTTCCAAAATCCGACATATTGTTTCGTTGGCAAAGAATCGTCGAACAGCACCAGGGACAGAACAAGATTTGAAAATCTGAAGAACCTTTTCCCGTCATCACAAACAATGGAGTACAGCCACACGATAACATGACTCATTTATGTATCGCCGGAGTACAAGAGACTGCTTTTTCTCACTTTCATCGGCACAAAGGAAACTTTTGACTCGGTTGTGATAGAAGTAGTCGTGAAAGCTCATGGTCGAGAACGCCATGCGAGCACTAGAATGGGACAATTTGCTGACGACGTCGCTCGTTAACACCAAAGATTAGCCAGAGGAGCGAATGCTTGCCGACTTCGACAATGCCTTTCGAAGAGTTGCTCTTTGATCAAATATCACAGAAACGATGTTCTTGAGGAACGTATTGGTTTTGTGTCCCACTCATCAGCTTAACGGTACGAATGTCTCCGACTGCTCCAGCCAGCTCTGTGTGGGCCAGAAAATCAACGTGTTGAACGACAGCTGAACAGGATGAAAGGCTACCTTGCGGTAATGGACGCGCACTCGAAAGGACAATGCTAGGAGCATCCCTTGTCACACAAATGAGGGCAAGGATCCGAAGCTCCTATCTACGTCAACAATCAGAAGCCAAAGATGTTGTTTCATACGCCAGTCACGTAATGCGCGTGAACGCAACCGATGGATAAGAACCGTTAGTAATTGCATTCCTCGAGATAACAAAAGCAGGCTAGGAAGACCACCGACCCGATAGTCAGAAGTCTTAACGAAAACTCTATAAGAAAGATATGCCGCAGAGTGAGTTTCTAGAGCGAGCAGTACCCACTGAACTGCTCTTGCACGCGGCACACTTCTGCCTACCCCACTGGTCAACATAGCCGCGTTTTCGTCTATATAACCATTATAAGTAACGTGTCAGTAGCTCAAACAGTTTTGAGTCGGGTCGTATACATCTGCTCTCCTTCTATGTCACGCTCTCTCCCTGCCACTCTTCCTCCCTCCCTCTTATTATCTCGCTCTCTCGTTCTCTCTCCTCTCCTTTTCGTTTTGTAGACTGTGGAGTCGTTTTGAAGAGATCCAGTACTAGGGAACACGTTTGTGTGAACTTGCATAATTTCTAGTAGAGTCCCAAATGCGCATTATCTACTCGCATTTTATTTAACGTTAAATACTCAAAAATCGAGACATTTTATTCCAAACGCTTCTTCTCCACGAAGAATTGATGTATTATTATCAGTCTTGGTGGTCTGGCTCTTGGCCCTAATGAAACTGACGACGACATTGGATGTCAAACAACGATTTAAATCATGATTACTGTTCACAATCATAGCACAAGAGCATCCAAACTAAGAGAAAAATCTAGTAGTTCTATACCTGAAAAGTCAAGATTTTGTGTTTTGGCAGCAGAAATGGTTCTAGAAGCCACCACCCTCAAACTAGCAGACTTCTATTACATTCAGACGAGCCTGGGGTTTTTGTATGAGGACCTGGTACTGCGTTGATTCGGATGATCCTGAAATTCTTGAAAAGAGAAAGAAATACTCCCAACAGCCAAAATAACCGTCAATTAGAGATTTGTGCACACACACAAGACTTGTGAAGGTGAAACACTTAGCCGATGGAATACGCCCTGTTTATACAAAGAAAAGAACAAATATACCACTAAACAGAAAAGAATATGAAACAAACTTTAATTTATCTCTCAATGAAGGCCTTTTACAAAATTTCAATAGAAGCCATAAGTTTTAAAACAAGACATAATCTGAACATTTAAATTTTAAATTCAGGTGATCGGCTTCATGGCTCAATGTGCTCCACGAGGGCCCACCGTCGGTCAGATGTGGGACTGTGCCTCCTCCCGATTCGACCATAGACCCTGTTGTCGTCAGCAAGCGGTTAGTCCAATATCAAAGACACTTTCAGCTACCTTCAAAAGATTCGCTGATTGTATTGGAAAGTAGAAGAATGCGAGAATTCGTACGTCGATGTGACCGAAATGAAGACGAGGGTTTGCTAAGGATCAACAGAGGAAGGAGGCCGAACGATGAGAACTGCGGTAGCAGCACATGCCGTAGTATCCATACGATTTGCATTCCTTAAGGAATGTCTACTCTAAAAATCGTTAGAGAACGGAGAAAAAACTGACCTACTAGATATTTATCCGTTCCCCTTTGCACTCTGCTTATTTGGTTCATTTGGTTATTTGGCTGAAGAGAGTTGTTCGTGAGTGCTTTGACTTTGGCTAAAAGAAAAAGTTCTTCAGCAATGTTAATAAGCAGTTTTTTTTACTACAGTTGCGTCAACATAACAATTTAGATAATTTGGATTTCGGCCGATTGGTCTGTTATGAGAAGTAGAGTAAGTTACCGTTTCAGAACTAAATCGGCAGTGTTTTTTCAACAACTGTACTTACTAAATCGTGCGACGACGGTAAATTTCTTTTAGCAACGATATGAGAAAAGGTTTTCAACGAAGAATTTAAACAAATGCCTAATAGTTATGTGGAGACACTACACATACTAAATTTCATTAAATGCGGTATACGTAATGCAGTGGTCTGGATGTTCTATAAGAAAAATGTGGAATTTAGTTGAATCCAGGTACGGTGTTAACCAAGCCTATCCTTCCGGTGTCAATTTTTTGACACCAGATTTTCCTAGAAGGATAAAAACACTGATTGGATGAACCAGTGGGCCACCGAAGGTCGCACAACAGGCCGTATGTTCATCGAACAACTTCTACGGTTGTTGATGAATTCAGGTGCATGCAAATCCGCTAGAGATTGATCAACGCGGTGCGCTTTTATTATGCATCCTCCATCTTGTTATAACTGGTAATTGTAATATATAGCGATCATAGAGATTCTTTGTAAACTTGCACGAAATTATAAATGACAACAAAGAAGGGGAAAGATTTGATTAATGGGAAAGTTACTACGGTAACACCAGGAACGAATTCCATCGTATCACACAGGGTTCGCAAAAAACGCGATACAGCGTCGTGGTGGTTGGAAGTGAACGGTTGTTGGTCGACACAAATAACAAAACATTTGAGAAAGAAAAACTTCGTCTATTCGTCTTTTCATTGGAAACCTCTATTTTTTACAATCACTTCTCCCACTTACTTTTACTTCTTACATATCGTTGGATATTATTCAAGTCTGTGAATCTTACATACTATTCGTTTCCTCGCATCCATTTGCCGAAGGGATTTTACGTTAGGCTTCGGCTGCTGCTGAAGGATTTTCGGCCTTTTTCACGAATGTCGCCGAAGGCTGGTCGAGTTGATTCCCTTGACATTCTGGGACAGCCGTTCTAGGGCGCCCGTGTGGAATGAAGGAAGGTTACCAGAAAGATCTGGTAGCAATTCCTGAACTCCGCAGGGATGACATGCTTCGTTTAAAAGGTATCATTACTATCTTAACTCTTTTATTTACTGCCTTTTCTTCTTAATGACAGGGTATGTTGCGAAATATAACTCGTATGAAATGCTGAGATATTTGCAAAACTCCGGACCACAGGTGTATGCAGTCTCTCAGCTATTGGTCCGGAGTTTTGCAAATATCTCAGCATTTCATAGGGGTATCATTACTACTTCATTACTCGCACGCTTCATAAGGAATCTGACTATCATATATTAGAAATAAATGTAAACGTTCTTCACGTTGTACGTTAAACTTCACAACACTTTTCGTTTTTTTACCTTCAGTGTTCTATTAGATTTTGGTGTTTTTTTAATTTGCTTCCATGATTGTTTTTTCCATCCCCAAATTCCAATGTTGACGTTCAGGTGATCGAACAGTGCTTGGTGTACTGTGAGACGACGAACGGAGTACCGACCGATTACTTGAAGTACATCGTGTGCCTCGGTCAATTCGATAAGATTCGTACGTGTTTTCGCCAGCATCTCGAAACTCACCCTAACCTCTACGGCGATTCCTAAAACTGGTGCTCACCGTCAGCAGGCAGCAGGCAGCGGTCATCTCATCTAGTTTCTTCTCGCCTAGAGCTATGAAATAGTGAAAATCCACTTGGAGAGCAACACGTGGCTTGCCACGACCAGTAAAGACCAGATTCGAGTCCAACCATAGCTCTCTTATGGTCACCAGCTCTTTAATGTTTAACTCCGCTATTTACTGTCAAATTTGTACTCATGTCTGAAATCGATTATTTATGTTTACTGTTGTTATCGACAAAAAACATCCCAATTTTATGAGATCATACAGTCTTACTTTCCATTCCACAGAGAATGAAAAAGTCTCGTTCATTTTTAAACTAAAGTTTTCCGAGAAATTGATCGATTACATGATAAGAACAACACATCAAACTGCAGTTATTACGTGCTTTCTCCGTAATAAAGTAAGACTTCCGATGCAGGGGGATCCTGCGTTACGTAAATCCCCTAATTTTACCGATCTACAAAGGTTTAAAACCAACACTAAGTCATTCTACACGTTTTTATAATGCGTCCAGTATTACACTCGCTTTCGATTACTTGTTGGCCTTCTCAACTTTACAGTTTTTTTTATACGGCCCGCCTTCACGTCTGCCGTACGGATTGCAGCACTTCCCACATTCGATTCGTTTTCTCGAATCCATCATCCATGAAGATCTTCCAACTTTTACGTGTAGTTTGGGTTTCTGCTTGATAGAGAATTTTTATTTCATCATGAATGTCCTAGAATGCTGGTCGCGCAATTCTCACTGGAGTCCTGAGATAGCCGGGCTGGAGCGTTCCCAACTGAACTGCAGAGAGTGATTTTTTCTCAGACAAGTTCGGTACCAATGTCCCGACCACGGAGGGATGAGAGGCTTCGTTGCTCCGAAGCGGAATCGAACTAGCACTCTGTACGTGATGACGGACATCAGCACTACTGTGCTTTGTGCCTCTCCCACTTTGCACTAACTGCAATGAAATGCATTTCAGTGGGTTTAGAGTGAATTGGAAGGCAGATAAAAACGTGAAGAAAGTGAGAAGTTGTTCAGTATCTGTAACGTATTGTTGTCATTCAGAACCGTCTTTTAAAGAGCGTGACGTCATGATTACGTCATAGGTTAAGGTCACTCTTGTGTAGTTATTCTGGTTTTTTATAAGGCATTATTTGTCCTCACGTTTATACAACCTCCTATTTTATTTATAATCCATCCACTGTATTTCTTATCCACCGTGAAAGTTTCTGGAAGGTTCCTGTTTCAATGCACTCCATGACAGGGTTGGGACTGGAAGTGTTACAGCTATTTAAAACCTGAAACACTTCAGGAAGGTGTCTTGGGTGTTCTAGGTGTATTACACAGGAATTACAAATAAATGCTTGCGTTACGTGAAAGGCACGTAAAAAACGGCTTTGAAGAAGGCGATACTAGAGAGAAAATATTTGAGGAACGTCATAGAATAAAGGAACACTCCGTGTACGCTGAAGAAGAACGTTAAGAACAAGTACTTGTTTTTTAGCAAAACACAAATAGGAAAGTTCTCGCTAAACAGCTATTACCAAGCGAACTGTTGTTGAAGAAGGTCGACTGTGAAGTGATCAACAGGTCAACACTGACAAACAGGAAGCACATCGGTCCTTTTGTGGGCTGAGGCCATCACTGCCTGCAACGCTGAGAACATCTCATCCGTGGTAAGGAAGAAGCTATGAGCAAACTGCACTCCTATAGCTGATCCCACCGTAATTTCTGAGAGTTTTTGCGAAGAACACAACTCGTGAGTGAATAAAATTAATTAATGATGGTGTACTGACCAAATGATTTGCAATGGCGGTATATCCGTAATGGGCATGTGAGCACTGTAGGGAATTTATCGAGGAATTAATCGAGCCCTATCCATTCACTGATGGGATATAGTTTTTCATTGTGAGTAACTTGTTCTTTAGTGGTGCTAGGAGAACTAAAACATTTACGAACTGCCTTTGTTGTGCTGGTGCGAGGGTGGTATAATATCGTTGTTTCTATTGTTCCTGTGGATCGAAGGCTCACATTTCGGCGACTTCGCCTTCGTCAGAGCATAAGCGGTTTCCATCTAACCATAGCCTTATAATTCGATAAAATATTTATAGCGTTAATTAAGATCTAGCATATAAATGAAAAGCATTGTGTTTAAAAAAAATAGTATCCTGCTCTGGCCTGGGGGTTCACCCGTGTGTAGTTGACGTGGAATGATGAGTGAAACCCACCCAGGTCAAAAAAGTCATTCTGAGATAAGGCGCCATATCACTGTGATAGTGAGGTATTTGAATTTCCGGTTTGTCCTTGAATTTCCGAAATTTACCGAAAACGGTTCAAGAGTCTTGCGCGTTGACGCTTTTGATTCCCGCTCTAGCATCCGGACATTCACTTCAAAGTTGTCACCATTGTGCTCTTATGCCCTATGTGCACTCATGGGAGTACTTTTCCGGATTCTAGATTTTCCACCTAGATGTTCTTTAATGCGTACACAAAGTGGTCTCCTTCTTTCCACAATGCATTCTTCACTGCATGCCTTACATGAGGTTGATTATATCGGCCTGAGCTGCACATGCGATCATAGAGGCGACTGCGAATGAATTGACGGTGTAGAGTATTAGGTGGGAGGTTAACAACGTTTGAGTTATAAGTTTTGCGCTATAACCTATGTAAGCTTGCCAATAAAGGGAGATATTGATATTCATGTCAAGGGTCAATGAAGGTGTGTTGACCGTCTGTGTTCTGGCCAATTTCAATCCGGCTGCCGTAGAATAGATTTTCACCATAAAATAAACAATTTGCTAACCACAAATAGAATTATTGACTTCCGAAACGCTTTCTGTTAACTGCCGATAATTTTTCGATAACCAAAACGTTTCAGAATCAGTTCCAGCGCTTCAAGAGTGTGTGAGAATCGTACAAAATATTCTTTGAACCTTCAGTTCTCTGGCATTAATAATCCTTTAAAATTAAAAACAACGTCTCAGATTTTTGAAATTTCTGAGTCAAACGCAGCAACAGCCAAGTTCAGAACAAAAGCCTCAACAAAAGAAAAAAACCAAAAATAGGTCTTGTGGGCGCCAGAAAATCAGAATTTCAACTCCGCAAGCAAATGTTGTATGGAAAAACTTGTATTTGGTTCGAAGATATGTGTAGATTTCACTGGTTCTTTTCTCAACCAATAAAACCCACTGTGAGTCAAAAGTTCTAATTAAAATTTGAAAGCACCCACTATTTTCAGACTAAGCGCATTGAAATCAATGCATGTTGTGCGGATGTGTCACAAAAGTAGTAACGAAGATGAACAAAACATGGCAGCACGAATATTCAAGATAATTTCGCATTTTCCTTCTATTTAGGTTCTGTCTATTGTTTATTACCTTTGCTACACGTTGGACGCGGTCCTCACTATGGATACCGCGTCATCTTTATTGAACGATATTCCTGGATATCGAAATGCGGTGTATACGCCGACATATCATCCTCCTACAGAAAGAGTTGAACATTTATAATGGACATTCCACTAATGTCTGGACCCAGCAATGTAAACCTTCGCTACAACAAAGCCTGGGGAGCCATCCATTAATTCTTCGTCAAAAACAGTTTTAAAGAGCTCCTTATGCCAAAAGCGCGCATGCTGTTCTTTGTTAGAAGCTGACCAACTCGTTTCTTATAATCTTTTAAATTGAACATTCATAAACCCTCTTCGCTGCATAACGTCGTTCACTTGATTTTCAACCTGTACCTACTTTGTCGCTGACAAAATAAATTTGCTGATGAATCATTCATTCACTCAACACCTTATCTCTTTTAAAGTTTATAGTTCATATTCGATCTGATTTGCGTGCTAATTTTTTGTTTTTGCCATTTTATTAAATACTGCGCAACATCATTTTCCTGTTCGCTGCATTACGTAGCCCCTTACTTTGTCTCAAACCGCGGATTGTGAGCAAAAGAACCACTCCAAGGAACAACAAATATCTTGATCTCACATGAATGCCTTTAGGAATTGTAGTAATCACTACGAGTGGCTTATTCAACTCACCAATCTAGCGTTCTGATTCGACGCCGATTAAGATCAGTCGAACTACCGGCCGCGTGGTCAAGCAAACTTGCTATTCAATAGATGGATGTCAATGGAGATGTGCTCAAAAACCAGTCGAAACTCAACACAAACCTTTCATCGCGCTCGACAAACCCTGTCAAACCATGTGAACGTCTTAATTGCCCAGTGTTTGTTTTTTCATAGCCTGTTTTTGGTGGTATTTATAGCTCCCAGGATCGACTTTCTATTAACCTTGGCATTGGAATATGAATGCGTCGTTTTCTTGTTCAGCAATCGCGGGGTTTTTAAACAGCATACATTTACTTCCATAGAAAAACACAATACAATACAACGCTAGCTGACGTTTCGGCAGTATCGCCTTCTTCAGAGCCTGAAAGGGTATACTGTTATGCAATCTACTAGGCCAAACGCTTCAACAACACTTACAAAAAGACGAAAAACTCCATGGCAATTACACGATCAACAGCTCTCGAAAAATTCACCGCTTTTTACGTGACTTCCAATGAGTTTCCTCATTGGAGGCGATACTGCCGAAACGTCAGCTAGTGTTGTATGGTATTTATAGCGTTGGTTGTATATTGCAAGCAATTCATCCAGTGCTATGTTTTCGTGCACTTAGCGATTTAATAACGTCTCATTGTGTTTTATTTCTTACACTACCTTCACTGGATTTCCTCGCCGTCCTAGCAGATGGAAGGAGTGCTTCTGGGTTCCGAAGTGCCATTTCCCCACAATTCCTCGTCATTTCTGAAAGCAGGCCGTTCAGGCATTTGAGTAGATAGTCATATCATTTATTTCACTTAAACCGTCACACTGCTAGAAACAGAAGAATGAGACCCAGCAATAAACTGAGTGAATGTTTCCTGGAAAATTCGTTCATATCAATCTCTCGTTAATTATTTTATTCCTTAACAGTACGCATGTGGCGCAGTGGCGGAAGGCGCCCTACAACATACAAGTGGAATCGATACCCTCTCCCGTGACCCACCAAGCCTTCCATCCCTCCAGGGTCAGCAAATCGGTATTATACTTGTCTGGCAGGATGGCAGCACTGGGTCGATACATCGGTAGAGCACCGCAAGTCATTGTAAAGCCCAGATATGCATTCAATCACCTCCTTAAGGATTGATCAACAGCGAGAGCTTTATCTTTTATACTTTATTAACATGGCACGCCAAAATTAATATTCGCCTTTCGGGAAAACTTTAAAGGGCACAGGTTTTCTTTGCTGAGAAGAAAATAATAGCCGCTTTAATGAAACTAATACAAAGATGTTTCGCATTGTTGCTGACACGGTTTCGTCGCGAGTATGTGCATACCACTATCTCTGTCGGTTTATAAAAAATTTTAGTTCAGAACGAATTCTGGAAACCTAAATTTTTCTTCGTAGAATTTATCAATACTGAGGTAATAAAGATGAGTATAACAGCCATGAACTTTACAGTCAGTACATTCAACAAAAAAAGGCAAAATGAAAGGGAATTATAAATGACCTGACCTCATCCGGCAGTTCAAGATAAAGAAGGAACCTTGATTTGTTGGAAACAAAATTATTTGTTTTCCTAGAAGCAATCAAGCTTGTAGTAGCCAGGTTAGTATTGACTGGCATGTAGCAAAACAATCATTCAGTTCCGACCTTCATTGAACCCTGAAATGAATAATCAGTATTCTGGTTTATTGGTAAACTTCAAGCGTGACTACAGTTCTGTAGAAAGCAACAGTACAGGATGCTGTTACTTTACTCGTACGATTTTCCACTCCACTTGATTAGACTCGCTATGACGAAGGCGAAGATCCGTATCGCAAAAAAGGGCAACTGATGTCGACACTTGACTCGAATGATCGTGGCTTTGATGAAGTCGAAGCTGCTCAAACGTTATCCATGATAAAGATTTCTAACAAGTTCACACAATCTTATCAATAAACTAAGACATTTATATATATATATATATATAGACATATATATATATATAGACATATATATAGACATATATATAGACACAGACATATATATATATGGACATATATATATATATATAGACATATATATGTTCTTACAAGCACACCTTGCTGAGCTGATGCAAGGCCGCTATAAAATGTGGTTGCTGTTGTAGATGTTATTGTTGTTGTTCGATGGCTCACGTTTCGTCGACTTCACCATCTTCAGAGCCTCAACGTATATTTTGTAACAATAGCTTTACAATTTGGTGAAAAATCTCTAAAATTTCATGTAAAAAATATTAATAAAGGTCTAACATATAAATAAACGCGAATTTACTCGAAAGCAACTCATGCTGCTGTTGCGTGTGAGACCACCCGTGAGTTGTTCACATGGTATGACGATTGAGATCCACCCAGGCTAGGAGGTTTGAAAGTTTCAAAAATTTGGTCAAAATTGGAGAATCCTCTTATCCGAGTGAGTCTTATTCGTCATACCAGGTGAGCAACACCCAGGTGGTCCTACACACAACAGCACAGTGAGTAGTTTTTAAATATTCATCAATACTATGGATGTTTCACCGAATTATAAGGTTACTATTTCGAAACCGACTTTCCCTGAACCTCGGTATCACTAATCAATATGTATTCTTTCTTTGATGAGCTTAGGTTGATAATGATGTTTATTTTCGGCTAACGTTTCGACGTCTTCGTCTTCCTCAGAGCCGATGATCCGAGTCGATGGTCCTCGCTTGTTATTCGCCTCAACGTGGCAGCTTCGCCTTCGTGTCGAGTGAGGTCTTCCTCAGTGAGCCATCTCCTCGAATGAGGCATCCTTACTCAGTGATGCCCTTTTATACACGATGCTGATGGTCGATATAATGATAATGTCCGGTGATAACAACTTGTTTTTCTTCCGGACATACATCATTGCACACATCGTGCAGAAGTCGGTGTTGCTATCAGCACTTTATAAAAGTTTTGAAAAGTTGAAAGTCGGTTTCGAAATATTACTACGCTTTGTGCTAGCTGATAACAACACCGACTTCTGCACGATGTGCGCAATGATGTATGTCCGGAAGAAAAACAAGTTGTTATCACCGGACATTATCATTATATCGACCATCAGCATCGTGTATAAAAGGGCATCACTGAGTAAGGATGCCTCATTCGAGGAGATGGCTCACTGAAGAAGACCTCACTCGACACGAAGGCGAAGCTGCCACGTCGAGGCGAATAACAAGCGAGGACCATCGACTCGGATCATCGGCTCTGAGGAAGACGAAGACGTCGAAACTTTAGCCGAAAATAAACATCATTATCAACCTCGTGTAAGCTCATCAAAGAAAGAATACATATAAGGTTACTGTCGCACTCTCGTTGAGCATCATACCTTTTTTCTACGGTTTTCCCGAAGAACTATGATCATCGGATCGGTGATCCCCCTGCAATACGTTTGACATCCCAAGGAAGCCGGTCGCTAACGGTTCTTGTCCACCGGTTGTCGTTCATACGTATGACGTGTCCGGCCCACTTCATCTTCCACTGTTTAGCGTATGGATTGACATCGTTGATTTTTGATAATTGACTGGGAAGCTCCTAGCATCGTCCTTTCGGCTGCAAGTTTAAAAACACTGAGTGACCTTTCATTCTGCTTGGGCAGCGACGAGGTCTCTGAAGTATATGCCACGACCGACTTTCTATTAACCTCGGCATTGATCAAGTGATTTTCTTCGTATTTTTGTTGAGCAAACGCGAGGTGTTACTATTCTTTGTTCACTATTAAGCTGACGTTTCGGCGAATTTCGCCTTCTTCAGAGCCTGGAAAGGTCAACTTGATAGCAATTCACTCGGCCAGACGCCTCCATAACTAAACAAAGAAACCCCAAACCAAGATTTCAATCACTTTGAACACAGCTTTGCACACTCACCGCTTTCTATGAGGTTTCCACTAAGTATGCCACGTAGAGACCAACCGCACAGAAATCACGTGGAAGTATAATGTGCCCCTCACATCAGAAAAGCAGTTTTATATTCTGCCCTATCTCACGCGTGATAATGAGGCATTCTTCCCCCAAAATAGACCAAATACCCCGCTAGGCACGCATAGGACCCAGAGACATAACGGGGACGACTTCGAAGTATGTGTCACGATCCTCGCACGCGAATCAAGAACACAGGCGCGAAAAACTCTCGAGGCACTCTGGATTAATTCCAGAAATCCGAAAATGAACCGCAAGGAAGAATGCCTCATTATCACGCGTGAGATAGGGCAGTATATAAAACTGCTTTTCTGTTGTGAGGGGCACATTATACTTCCACGTGATTTCTGTGCGGTTGGTCTCTAAGTGACATACTTAGTGGAAACCTCATAGAAAGCGGTGAGTGTGCAAAGCTGTGTTCAAAGTGATTGAAATCTTGGTTTGGGGTTTCTTTGTTTAGTTATGGAGGCGTCTGGCCGAGTGAGTTGCTATCAACCTGACCTTTCCAGGCTCTGAAGAAGGCGAAATTCGCCGAAACGTCAGCTTAATNAAAATAGACCAAATACCCCGCTAGGCACGCATAGGACCCAGAGACATAACGGGGACGACTTCGAAGTATGTGTCACGATCCTCGCACGCGAATCAAGAACACAGGCGCGAAAAACTCTCGAGGCACTCTGGATTAATTCCAGAAATCCGAAAATGAACCGCAAGGAAGAATGCCTCATTATCACGCGTGAGATAGGGCAGTATATAAAACTGCTTTTCTGTTGTGAGGGGCACATTATACTTCCACGTGATTTCTGTGCGGTTGGTCTCTACGTGACATACTTAGTGGAAACCTCATAGAAAGCGGTGAGTGTGCAAAGCTGTGTTCAAAGTGATTGAAATCTTGGTTTGGGGTTTCTTTGTTTAGTTATGGAGGCGTCTGGCCGAGTGAGTTGCTATCAACCTGTCCTTTCCTGGCTCTGAAGAAGGCGAAATTCGCCGAAACGTCAGCTTAATCGTGAACAAAGAATAGTAACACCTCGCGTTTGCTCAACAGAAATACGAAGAAAATCTCTGAAGTATATGTTAATCCAGGGAGAACCGTGGAGTCGATAAGGTGGGCACGGAATCGGGTATTCTTTGTTCTGTTCACCACATCCTTGATGCTCTTGAAAGCACCCCAAAGCCGCTCGTTTCTTCTTGCTCAACTATGGAGATACGTCATTCGTCACGTCCGTTTCTCATCAACATCGCTCTGTGAGATTTGGCCGCAAACCAATATTTTCAAAATCGGCAAGCGTTTGTTCCGCCTGGCTAATGATTGATGTTATAACGACGGTGTCATCAGCGAAGCGAAGATGGTGTAATTGCCGACCATCGATTTTCACTCCCATATTATCCCATACCAATGTTCGCATAACGTTCTCGAGGCTGGCGGTGATCAGTTTTGACGAGATGGTATCGCTTTGTCTTACCCTTGTTTTGACGTCGGTTTTAATACCTTTGTAGAATAGTGATATCCTCGTTATGAAATTTTTATACAGCTCACGAAGAATCTTCATTTACTGTGTAAGAGCTCCCTAACTTTCCAGGACTTCCATGACTACTGCTATCTCAACTAAGTCAAAACCCTTCTGTGAATTGACGAAATTGGTCTCTTGTACTCTAGCGATAATTCAATGAGTATTGCTATCGCGCGGATGTGGTGCATCGCGCTAAATCCTTTTCGAAACCCTGCTTGCTCATATGTCCTTCGTTCAGCGTTCAGCCGATCTTGTTTAGAACAATTTCAGTTGAAAGTTTGTAGACCGCAAGCAGCAAGCATAATGAGCGATAGCTGCCGAAATCGTGGAGGTCACCTTTGTTGAACAATAGCACGGTCTTCCCAGCCTTCGCCTGACTAGGGACCTTGTATTCAGAGAAGTAAAGCGTGAACAGCCGAGCCAGTGTGTTCATGAGGACTGAGTGAAGGTTCTTCAGGTGTTCAGATCTTATCCTGTCCAGACCTGGTGTTGTTCCGTTCTTCACCGACGAAAAAACATTTAAGATCTCGAAAGGGAGAAATGGTGATTCGGCATATATAACAAACAAATTCTATTCATATGGTAGTAATAACCAATGATTTTCTCCATTGCCTTTCTTGAAACTATAACTGTTCTGGATGAGCGTCAGAGTGCAATAATTTTGGTTTCCTAATAGCCGAGGCTTCGGTATGCTTTGCTGCTGCTTTTTCCAGCTTTTGCAGCTTCGACCGTCACTGAACTCTTCTCTCTTCAAGATTTTCTTTTATCGCCTCTCTGAATTCTTTTACAAGTTCGAATAAGAGTTGAGGGTTACCTGTAGCTCGTGTGACTCCACGCTGGCGTAACAGCTCGAATGTTTCTGAAGACAGAGGTCTCTTAATGACTTCCGAACTTTCGGGTTTCATAGCGCTAGCGTTAGGGAGTTAAGTGAGCAGATAGTATTTATCATCGATATTGTCGAGAACGGCATCTTCCCAGTAGCCGACTAGTGAGTTGAATAAAACCCAATTTGTGGTAGTTTCCGGACCTCATTTTTCAGCTTTTTCTCTTTTCCGCGAGAAGTGAAATCTTGCACGAAAGAGGCGATGATCTGATTTCGTGTAGAATTTTGGGAGAACAGCGACACCGGTTAGATGAAATCTTCTATTTACTATAATGTGGACTGTTTCGTTATGCTACCCCTATTGGAAGAGTCCCACATCCAGCATTGATGGTGGGGCTTCTGGAATTTGGAACTACTATGAATGGTGGTGATCGTCGTGATAAACTAAAACGACCGCTCACCCTGCTCGATCCATTCTAATCCTTGGGCTCCACTGTAACGTTTTGCATACGCTCTTTTGGCTCCAGTCTTAGCGTTAAAATCATCAGTGATAACCTTGAAGAATGTATGGTCTTATCTAGAAAACATCTCGAAGCTCGTATAGAACTCTTCGACTTCTTCTTCTTTATTGCTTGATGTCAGTGCATAAATCACAAAGATCGCTAAAGCCGGTATTGAACCACATCTCTTAAATCGCAAGCATCCGATTCGGGTTGTAAGTTGTTCGAATGGATCGATGTTCATGGACAAACTCGTGTTGATGAGAACGCCGACGTTGCCGACTCCTTTATTGTCGCATGTTCCGAGGAACATTTCTTCTCCGGTGTCATAGACGGCGTTGAAAGGTGGCGTCTTCTCGTCTCGGCCAGGCCGATGACATCGTACTTTATCCTTCTTGCTTACACGAGCAAGTCTTCTGTCGAGGACTCGGATGCAAGTGTACGCGCATTGTAGGTACAGATCGTCACCTTAGTTCTTCGTGAACCAGGCGGTTCCATTGGCCCTCAGATTTTAGCAGCCTCCTCTCCGAACTCGTTCTACCCAACGCTGCCGAATTAGGAGCAATTACAGGGTCAGGAGAATAAGGCATAAGGCACGTTTCTTTTACAGCGTTTAGTTTTTTGATACCCACGTATGTCTTGCTGGGCTTTGAACGTGGGGACTTGGTATAGTTAAGAGTAGCTTGCCAGTCTCTCCCAAAGTTGACATGGAGCTTATTTGTTGGAAGCGTCTCCTAACCGTCTCCCATATACTTCCCAGTTTGACTGCAGGCTTTTTGGCCGAATTGACTCGTAGAATACAATCCGCATAGGCGAGAACACACACACACGCATGCATGAATACGCCTAGCAAGCACAGAAAGTATGTGCCAAATCGACGCAGCAGAAAAATGGAGTCCATCGCTTGGATCCACCTGCGTCTCAGGGAAACAAAGGTCGCTTTTGGTCCGTGAGCATGTCTCATTCGTGCGGTGTTCCACTGGAAAAGATCGGACTTGATACGAAAACGGAGGCGCCACATCGACAAAACGAGGAACTGTGAAGCATCGACTTGGATCATCAGCTCTCATAAAGATGAAAACGAAGACGAAACAAGAGCCAAATAAAGATTGTATATCAACCCCGTGCAAGCTTGTCAAAGAAGGAGTACGTTTCCACCAGACCGCGCCAACATATTGGCTCGGCTAATCACATGTTTTCCGAATGCAAGGTTTCTAGTCATTGGAAGGCCACCAAGACTGTTTCATTCTTCAAGAAGGTGACCACCACGATATCGGCAACCATTGCTCAATCTGCTTACTGTCTATCGTCCATAGACGCTTCACTGGAGCAGTACGCTGGACAAAGGACAGCCATGTAAGCAAGGTTTCGAAAAGCATTCGGTACCGTGGATCATATTCACTCGATAACAAGATTCATCAATGAAGTACCGCGAAAGCATAAGAGACTGCTCTGTCTTACATTCATCGATTTAAGGAAAGCTTTTGACTTACAACCACAACGTTGCTGAGATATTTGCAAAACTCTGGACAGCAGGTGTCTATAGTGTGGAACGAACGCGCTATTGTCCTTTCCGGGGAGTAACGCTTTCAACACCACACCATGCGGGTCCTTCGTTTCGCCTGTCTGTCAGCTGTTTCTATCGATCTTTGCCACAGCAATCACCCGTCAGCCAGATTGATCTGGGGCGCCCAAATCGGCATAGAACCCAGTTAAGCTGCGGCTGTAGTTGAAATCACAATGTTATACCTTTTTATTTTCTGCCTACTATAATTATCTCAGCAACGTTGTGGTTGTATTTCGCTTAGTACCCTGTTGCGAAATTATAGTAAGCAGAAAATAAAAAAGTATAACATTGTGCTTTTGACTTAGTTTAGATCAAATCTGCCACAGAAGCTCTGGAAAGCTAGGACGTCTCTGCTCTTTATATAAAGACTCATCGTGAGCCACATAAAATTTGTACAACTGAAATATCACTTGAACTCGAGGCCAGATCGAACTACGGTTACTCTTTGCGAGGGGTCGCATTTTACACACCGCACCACTAAGGCCCTTGATTTGGCTTTCTCTCAGCTAGTTTTCTACCTATCGGTGCCATCAGCAATCACATGTTAACGAGACTGATCTGCGGAGCACAAATCGGCATTGAACCCAGTTAAGCTGAGGCTGTAGTCGAAATCATAATGTAAATACTTAATTTGCTGCCTACAATAATTTTTCACTGCAGGGTGTGATGCGAAATACAACCACAGCGATGCTGAGATTTTCGCTAAAACTATAGTAAGCAGCAATTAAAAGGTTAACACTGTGATTTCGACTACAGCCTCAGCTTAACTGAGATTGTTAATGGCACCAACTAGCTGAGAGAAAGGCAAGGCAAGGGCTCAGCGGTGTAGTGTGTAATACGCGAGTCGCCGGAATGGGTAATCGTGGTCCGATCTGGCCTGCAGCGTATGTTTTGCGAATATCTCGGCAACATTGTGGTTGTTTTTCACATCATGCCCTGCCGTGGAAAATTGTAGCAGACAGAAAATAAAAGGCTAGCATTTAAAATATGACTATTCTATAAGGATATTAACACCAACACAAAAGTAGGGCGTTAGGCGAAGCGATACCATCTCGCCAAAATTATTTACCGCCACCCTCCAGTACGTCATGCGAACACTGGAATGGGAGAACATGAGAGTGGAAATCAATGGTCGGCAATTACACCATCTTTATTTCACTCATGACACCGTTTTTATAACACGAGGCATTAGCCATGTGGGACTAATGCTTGTCGACTTTAATATAGCCTGTGCAAAAATTGACCTTCGACTACATCTTACAAAAACGGTGTTCATAAGGAACAGATTGGATAAGTATGCTTCATTCACGCTTATCGGAATGATCACTCCATTTAGGTCTGCCTAGACCGGGACATCAACATGGTGGACGACTAAACTCGTGAGATGAACAGGACCAAGCGAGCGGCTACGTATTCATCATGGAAGATCACTCAGCGTTATTGAACGCGCAGACGAAAGGACAATGCTATGAGAACCCAGTATCACCCATGTGAAGGTGGAATTCCGAAATCCCGATCTACGTCAACGATAGAAATACCAGCGACGCACCCCTATACGCCAAATTGCCCAAAACGAGGTGAGCGGTGCACGCAGTTGGTATGAACAAAAACCGATGGAGAGCTGTTAGCGAATATCGGACTCATATCAAGAAGAGCACCGACCCAATGGTCCGAGTTTATCACCAACACCCTAAGAGGAAGATATGATGCATTTATTTATATGATCTTACAAACTGACCTTCTTAAGCTGATGCGAAGTTGGTGCAGATCTTCGTTGTCGTTGTTGTTTTGTTGACGTTTCGACGACTTCGCCTTCCTCAGAGCCTGGACGTACTTTGTGTTAGAATACTTTTTATTATTCTGTGGAAAAGAAGGTTAAAGTATTAATGAAGATCAAACTTTCAAATAGACGCCATATTGAACAGAAAGGCGTGATGTTACGTGCGGGACTGGCCCACACGTAGTTCACGTGGAGTCGCGAGCAAGACACTCTCCGGGGTCAAAATATCATTTTGAAATAGGGCGCCAGGTCACGCGTGGTAGTGAGGCATTCGTCTTTCCGGTTCAACTTCGGATTTTTGAAATTTACCCAAAACGCCTCAAGAGTTCTGCGCGTTTATGTTTTTGATTCCTGCGCTAGGATCCCAACAGTCACTTCGAAATCATCGCCGTTGTGCTTTCGTGCCCTATGCGTACCTAGAGGGGTGTTTAAACGGATTTTAGCTTTTCCATCTAAATGTTCTTTTATGCGAACACAAAGTGGGCTACCCATATCCCCGATATATTCCTCGCCGCATGCATTACATGAGATCAAGTATATTATACCTAAACTCATGCAATCCCCGTCTCTACCGTTGGGACAGATCATACAGTTTTCTGAGCTGCACAAACGATCATAGAGACGGTTTCGAACTAACTGGCGGCGTAGGGTATTGGGTGGGGTGTCAATAATCGTTACATAATTTTTAAGACCACTTTTTTTTAAGCACTTCTTAATGGCGTGACATACTTCGTTTGATATGAAGAGCAGCTTAAAGGGGATCCTACTTTCGTCTGAAATATTATTTTGGGAAACTACCCAACGTTTTCCTCTAACCCGAGTGGCTTCTACTTCGTAGCCATTGGAAATGGCAATTTTTTCGTGCCAGGCTTCTCGATTCCTTCCTTTCTTCTTTTCCTGTACACACATTTTTAGCCGTACGATACATATTTTTGATAAGTGCTTTTTTCATGTGTGAAGGATGAGAGGAGAGGCAGTCAACTAGGCCAGTTACTGAGAGCTTTGTTTGGATGTTTAAGAATGGAAGCCAGTTTTCGGTAGGTTTTTCTCGTGTAAATTTTATATACTCTGACTGTCGGTTTAATAATTCAAAGCACTCATCCATCTATTCTTGTGTGGAACAGACGATGAAGCAGTTGTCTATGTATTGACAGTAGAGTAAGGGTCAGCGATCGAGAACTGTCTAAGGTGTCTAAGGTGGAAGCTCCAGTGACTGTCTAAGGTGTCTAAGGTGGAAGCTCCAGTGACTGTCTAAGGTGTCTAAGGTGGAAGCTCCAGTGACTGTCTAAGGTGTCTAAGGTGGAAGCTCCAGTGACTGTCTAAGGTGTCTAAGGTGGAAGCTCCAGTGACTGTCTAAGGTGTCTAAGGTGGAAGCTCCAGTGACTGTCTAAGGTGTCTAAGGTGGAAGCTCNTTTTTCGTGCCAGGCTTCTCGATTCCTTCCTTTCTTCTTTTCCTGTACACACATTTTTAGCCGTACGATACATATTTTTGATAAGTGCTTTTTTCATGTGTGAAGGATGAGAGGAGAGGCAGTCAACTAGGCCAGTTACTGAGAGCTTTGTTTGGATGTTTAAGAATGGAAGCCAGTTTTCGGTAGGTTTTTCTCGTGTAAATTTTATATACTCTGACTGTCGGTTTAATAATTCAAAGCACTCATCCATCTATTCTTGTGTGGAACAGACGATGAAGCAGTTGTCTATGTATTGACAGTAGAGTAAGGGTCAGCGATCGAGAACTGTCTAAGGTGTCTAAGGTGGAAGCTCCAGTGACTGTCTAAGGTGTCTAAGGTGGAAGCTCCAGTGACTGTCTAAGGTGTCTAAGGTGGAAGCTCCAGTGACTGTCTAAGGTGTCTAAGGTGGAAGCTCCAGTGACTGTCTAAAGTGTCTAAGGTGGAAGCTCCAGTTCTCGATCACCGACCCTTACTCTACTGTCGATACATAGACAACTGCTTCATCGTCTGTTCCACACAAGAATAGATGGATGAGTGCTTTGAATTATTAAACCGACAGTCAGAGTATATAAAATTTACACGAGAAAAACCTACCGAGAACTGGCTTCCATTCNCCAAGCCTTGCCATCGCTTTCATGTCTAAGGTGGAAGCTCCAGTTCTCGATCACCGACCCTTACTCTACTGTCGATACATAGACAACTGCTTCATCGTCTGTTCCACACAAGAATAGATGGATGAGTGCTTTGAATTATTAAACCGACAGTCAGAGTATATAAAATTTACACGAGAAAAACCTACCGAGAACTGGCTTCCATTCTTAAACATCCAAACAAAGCTCTCAGTAACTGGCCTAGTTCACTGCCTCTTCTCCCATCCTTCACACATGAAAAAAGCACTTATCAAAAATATGTATCGTACGGCTAAAAATGTGTGTATAGGAGAAGAGGAAAGGAAGGAATCGCAAAACCTGGCACGAAAAATTGCCATTTCCAATGGCTACGAAGTAGAAGCCACTCGGGTTAGAGGAAAACGTTGGGTGGTTTCCCAAAATAATATTTCAGATGAAAGTAGGATCCCCTTTAAGCCGCCTTTGATATCAAATGAAGTAGTTCACGCCATTAAAAAGTGCTTAAGAAAATGTGGTCTTGAAAATTATGTAACGATTATTGACACCCCACCCAATACCCTACGCCGCCAGTTAGTTCGAAACCGTCTCTATGATCGTTTGTGCAGCTCAGAAAACTGTATGATCTGTCCCAACGGTAGAGACGGGGATTGCATGAGTTTAGGTATAATATACTTGATCTCATCTAATGCATGCGGCGAGGAATATATCGGGGATACGGGTAGCCCACTTTGTGTTCGCATAAAAGAACATTTAGATGGAAAAGCTAAAATCCGCTTAAACACCCCTCTAGGTACGCATAGGGCACGAAAGCACAACGGCGATGATTTCGAAGTGACTGTTGGGATCCTAGCGCAGGAATCAAAAACATAAACGCGCAGAACTCTTGAGGCGTTTTGGGTAAATTTCAAAAATCCAAAGATGAACCGGAAAGACGAATGCCTCGCTATCACGCGTGACCTGGCGCCCTATTTCAAAATGATATTTTGACCCCGGGGTGGTCTTGCTCGCGACTCCACGAAAACAACGCGTGGGCCATTCCCGCACGTAACATCACGCCTTTCTGTTCAATATGGCGTCTATTTGAAAATTTGAAAGTTTGATCTTCATTAACACTTTAACCTTTATTTCCCACCGAATAACAAAAATATTCTAATGTAAGATACGTCCAGGCTCTGAGGAAGGCGAAGTCGCCGAAACGTCAGCCATCGATCAATAAAATCAAGAACAACGGCAACGAAGATCTGTACCAACCTCGCGTCGGCTTAAGAAGATCAGTTTATAAGATCACATAAATAAATATATCAACTATCTATGCCGATGTTTATAGAAAGTCGGTCTTTCGAGTTGTTAAGAGATGTTCCAGAAAAACTAATAGTTCTCGGTGCGACATGTCGAATTCACGACTTGGCGGACGTTGTTTGTCGCTTGTGGGTGATGGTCTGGGTGAGCGACGCGCTCCGTCGGCTCCTCGAGTGCCCCTCCTTCCCATTCCACCATTCTGTTCACTTCTCTCTTAGTGGCAGCTGAGGTACATATCGGTTTCCGTGAAAGCCTTGAGATCTCTTGTCATCCGTTTTTCTGTCGCTTGAAATGCATCCGTTCATCTCAAATTCCCTCTTTACAATTGTTTGCGTTTTCGAACTACTATATCTTCCTATCCACTTCATTTCTTTTGTTCCTTCAAAACTAAGTTTAACATTTCTAAAACAGTGGTCATCTTTATTGCATTCTTCTAGTTTAAAGTGGTTATAGCCCTTATATAGCGTTGGTTTAGGGTGAACTGAGTGTAAACATGAAAGACGAAGTTCCACAACGCGCCTACACAAGAACACCTATAATTAGGTAAGTTCGAAATGAACTTAATCAAAGTTTTGAACCCTTAAGCAGAAACTCTATAAAAATTTCGATGTAATGAGTACATCTAAGCCTAAGCCAGTAGAACGCTAAACTGAGATCAAATGGCGAAGTAGGTTTGAAATGAAGATACGGAATGAATGAGGTTGTTGTCGACCTACTTCATTTCTTCCATTCCGCTACTTGAACAGAACGCAGTTCACAACGAAAGTGGTATCTTGCGAAAGAAAAGGATAAAAGAAAAGCAGAATGTTCACAGAGTCCAAGACCCCGTATACTTTCCATCGAGAGGTATGTGAGTGCAAGTGATAGAAACTTTTGACAGGAGCTGGGACGAACCCTAAAAAGGTTTGGATTTCTGAAATTTCAAGCCTTTTGAATATCGACCGTTCAAATGATTAAGTAGTGCCGACTTTTCGCTTTAGCACTTCATCCGTAGATGGCTGAAGGATAGTATTGGAAAAACTGCACTGGACTTCTCTTTATTATCTAGTGGTTTTTCTCTCAATAATCTAAAATTTTGACTCGATTTCGAAAAATTTCTGAATAATTTCGATTTACGGATTCTCATAGGAAACGTAACAAAGTCGAGTCTACTAATCATATGTTCACCGAAGATCGGCTCGAGTGACAGCAATGAGGTGGAAGCAATTCAGCACTCCCTTTTGCAGCCAACTAAAAACGGCCGATAAATCAAGTGTTTTCTCTCCAACACTACAACTCTTCGTGGTTTTTTCACAATGATGACTTGAAGCAACAATTTTGCTATTTTTTTTTTTGATACGTGACACAATTAACTCCGATGATGTGAAAATCCAGCACCAACTATGGGCACTGACTTTAATCACTATGGATCACATGGAATCCGTTCCTCCGTTTTTTTGGTTAATCGTTTAGTATATAAGCTTCTGCTAGGCAAAATTTCTCCACCGTTCAGGTTTTTACTTCCTCTCACATCACAAGCCGACACATTCGTGCATGTTGTAGGTTCGACACCACGCATCATAACGCACATGTGTTCACTCAGTCAATGGGATAATTGACATCTCAAATTTCACCGCACCTATTCATTCAATAATAAAATAGAGTATAGCGGCAAAAAATCGGTCCAACAGATTTTAGACTCGTCTTTCACTTACCAAAGCAATGAAACTCCAGTATTTCATTTTCGTGTTTCAACAGCCGAAAATCCACCTTTAGTTCCCTCTTTCTTCTTCCAACTTCTTTTCTATTTTACCTTATATGACCCATCTTCACGTCTACCGTGCTTATATGACCCATCTTCACGCCTACCGTTCCAGCACTTCTCCCATTCGATTAGTTTCCTTGCATCCACTGTCTACGAAGACTTTCCAACTTTTACGTGTGGCTTTGGTAGCTGCTTGAGGATTCCCATTTCATCTTGAATGTCGTAGATTTCTCGTCGAGCAATTCTCACTGGAGTCCTGAGATAGCCGGGCTGGAGCGTTCCCAATTGAACTGCAGGGAGTGATTTTCTCCCAGACAGGTTCGGTACCCATGTCCACGGAGGGATGAGAGGCTTGGATGGCCCGAAGCGGAATTGAACTACCACCATGCTTGTGATGACGGACATCCACTGTGCTATCCGCTCGCTTCTTCTTCCAAGTTGAAGACTTTATTTATTGTCTATTTAAGTGAGCCTACTTAGCATGTTGCGCTTATTCCATCACTTCATTCATTTACCATGGTTTTTGAACATCAATGCGGATTCGCTTTTGACGACCTCGTCTTCTTCCTCGGTGTCATTGACTCGCCTAAGAATTTTGGGATTGCTGTATGAGGAAGGCTACAGATCTTCACCGCATAGAAAATTACAGACTTTTTTTGGATCAAAGGAAGCTTTTCGCATCTTCGTTTGATAAAGATTTGATGAGAGATCCGGTTGACACGTGACGGGCTATATATTGCTTTAGCAACCATTGCATTTGTTGCCCACCTGCACACTCTTCTTCATCTCGACAGTGCTTTTAAACATATTGGTAGTACACTATAGCATGCACTTTAACACATTTTAAACTTAAATGCATGTGACCGAAAGGGACTCGCCTTTTGAGCTTTTGCGGGAAGTATCTCGGCTCATAGTAAGCTTTGGTACTGAAAATAAAAGATTACTGGAATCTCTAGATGTTTACCAACTAAGGAGAGGTTTTTTAATTTTGTCTATTCCAAACAGCGAAACGATTGAGCGAGCGGAATTTCTTCCGAGAAGAACTGCCGCGTCTCCTCAAAGCACCGCTGATTGCGTCTGGTCCGCTTGTTAATTTTTTCGTTGAACTATTGCTTTATTTTAATTAAAAGGCTAAAATAAGAGCAGGACTACATTCCCTTGAAGCGATAGCGCAAAGACACGGGTCACGCAACGCCGACGATCGCCGATCAAGCGGTCTCATGTTTAACATTGATTACAGCAGCACATTTTTTCCGTTAATAAGCTAACACGAGGATGATAAAAGTGATCAAAACGCCTTGTTCTACAAACGTTTCTGCGCCTTGGCCTTCCTTAGAGCTGGATTGATTGAAGATTTTTATGTGTAAATAGCAAAAGAAACCCTTTCCTTCAAGTCTAATTTTTCAAATGAATCTATTCATCCTAAAGCTCTTTAAAAGTCACAACTTTACTGCGGACCGGTTTGGAAGGATCAGATTACTTTCCTCTGTAGAAGCGAGTAACCTCCAGCACACCAATCGTCAGAGGCCAAGTTTTTCATCTAATAGAAACCATGCGTTTTATAGAACCTTCGAATAAAAAGAAGAAAAGACTAATGAAATCTTATTTAGAAGCAGACATTTGATCGTATTCCTCACTGTTATATTCATCTTCGTTACTGTCGCGTCATTCTCGACCTTGACGTTACTCGTCGTGCTCAGTGAGAGTTTAACATCAGTCTCAGGTGGGTTAGATTTTGCCACAGCTTTCTGTTTTTTTGTGTAGTTGCTTCTTGTGTTCTTGTTATCTTTTTGTGTGCGAATACTTTCTGCTGTAGAGACCTACCTCTAATATCTTCTTCCTTTTCTTGAAGATTGGTGACCAAAACTACCTGGCTTATCTTCACATGATGGACATTGGTTAGGTGCTGACTAAAAGCCACCTCATACCTACCTACTCTAAGATTACTGGGATGGATTATCCGCCTTTGTTTTATTTGGCGTCCTCTATGTACGTCTACAAGCTTATGCAACGTAGAGACTGGGAAGTGTAAAGTAACTAGATAGAGGTCGCTTTTAACGAACAGGTTCGACGGCTATTCTTCAAAATTCCGGTGACTCTCCTTAAGGATATTTAGTTACCAAAAGACCCAATAGAGCCAACTGTAGGTATTTCTCTCCAAAAGCAGACAAAAGACCAAGCGACGGAGCTCTTCGTTCGTTTATCTTCGAAAGAGTTCCGAATACAGCAGTTGAATAGGTCGCTACGTACCGCCTTACGTACATGAACTAACGTTTTCAGAAAATACCAGCTGCTTGTCGTCCTACAAGAACCACCATCTTAACGATTCCGACTCCAGTCGAAGGGTTTCGTTATGTTTATCAGAACGATGTGTCCAGCTAGGTAAGCGTGCAGGTTTCCTATTCAAAGATTTTTCAACTAAAGCAGTTCCATCTCAGCATCCGTTTACCTCAACAATATGGATCATGACATAGATGCCTGCTCAGATTTCTATTCATTCACGTGCGGCAAATACGCCAAGAATCATGCCATACCTCAGCATGCGACGAAAATCAGCGTCCTCTATGAGATGAAACAAAATCTCGATAATCATCTTAGAAGTGAGTCTGTAGTAGTACTTTTTTCTAACATATTTTGGAAAGCTCAATGTAGTGCCACTTGTAGAGGTGTTACTGTGTTCATAATACTCAACAAACAACATTCCTTCTGGGCTGTATCATGTTTGCGATGAACTTAAGAACTACTCCGCCTACAACTCTGGCATCCCGTTGGTAGGGCTAATCTAAGGGAAAGAAAAAAGGCGTTAAAAACCTTTCAGCAGGAACACTGTGTACCTATAACGACCAGATAGGCAAGATAGGACGCATGTGGCGCAGTGGTCGGAGGAGCTCTGCAATAGGAACGGGATCGATTCCTGCTCCCATGGCTCACCAAGCCTTCTATTCCTTCAGAATCAGCAAATTGGTACCATACTTGTCTGGGAGTGTAGCAGCACTGGCTCAACACATCGAAATTCCACCAAAAGTCATTGAAAAGGCCAGATATGCATTCAATCACCTACAACGTTGTTTATTGAAATCGAATGCATGGCGCATTCTTCAGGGATTGATCAGCGCCGAGCGCCTTATCCTTTAATTATTTAACGAATAGATTTATCGAAGAAGACTTTTTGAACATCACTATTCTACCTAGCGTTCAACTACTTGTTTATTATCGATTTTTTGCGTTCGTTCGAAGGACTAAATTTCGAATTATAACACAACTTCCTTATGTATTTTCATTGTTAGTTCTTTTGTCTATTAGACAGAAATTTTTGCCTAAAAAGTAGCGAAATATTTTTCTTAATGTTTGCTGAATGTGTTAAAATCATGCATATTTATTTTGTTTTTTCAAAATCTTGTTTCTTCATGAATGCAGTTGAATGTTTGCCGTGGTGATTCGCCCCAGAGTCTTAAGACACGCCTGTTAGAGCGTTTCAAAATCCTCAGCAAGCATTCAACCGCTTGTTTGAATCCAAGGCCTTTTCCCAGACTGATGTGACAATAATCTAAAACGGCCAATCTAGTTCTTCAGCAAGTAGTCATCTGTAGTCGTCTGTTTTTGTGGATCGGAGGCAGCTTTTCGCAAAAAAAATCCTGTGTCAATTCGCCGGCACCGAAGGTGAGGGAGGCTTCTTAGCGCAAGCAGAGGTTAAGCGAGCGATTTTGCTTTATTCCACCTTGGACGAATATGTTTAAGAACACAAAAAGTTAATGATGTCAACTTGGAAAGGATTGCTGGATGCTACCTCATTGAGAACTACCGTCCGTGTATTGCGTGTCTACTCTCCGACGTCCCCTATATAATGTTACAGCTTTTAATTTTTCTTGTACATTTCTACACCACACATTGTGCAGATCTCGTCATTCTTTCATTCGAATCGTATCCTCGCATCCATCATCGACAAAGATCCTTATATTTCCATGTGGGTTTGACTGCTGGTAGAGTAGTGTTGCTCTTTATGAATGTTATTGAATGCGTGTCGAGACGAGTCTCCTTGAAACCCGGAGTCTCTGCCACAGACATTCTCGAGCTTTGGTAGATTTCAATCTTTAATTTGCCATTTATTTTTTAATCGTATAATTTAATTTGATTTAACCACAAGATTGCTGAGATATTTGCAAAACTCCGGACCGCAGATATCTGCGGTGGGGAACGAACCTACAAGATTGCTGAGATACTTGCAAAACTTGTATTTCGCTAATCTTGTGGTTGTATTTCGCTTAATACCCTGCCATAAAAATAATAGAAGGCAGAAAATAAAGAGTAAACATTGTAATTTAATTTAATTTTTTATAATCTTTGCTAAAACGAGAGGGAGCGCGTAGCGTAGTGGTTCGAGACACCCTACAATATTCACAGGGTCAATCCTTCGCCCCAAGCTCGCCAAGCCTTCCATCCCTCCGGAGTCGGCAAATTGGTACCAGACTTCTCTAGGAGGATAGCAGCACTGGCTGGATATATTAGTAGGCCACTGCGAGTTATTTTATAGGCCAGATATGCATCTAACCATGCTTAGTGAAGTCGAATGCATGGTGCATCCCTCAGGGATTGGTAAACACCGGGAGCGTCATCCCTTTTTTTGCTAAAACGTCTCTCTAGGGTTTTCTCTTTCTTTCTCTGTATGCGCCTTTCTAGGCTCTGATGCGAAGTGTTTAAAAATTCTTTATGTACGCGTTGGATATGCGAATGGTTTCCTGCACACCAGTTTGGCCAAATGTATACTATCAAATAAACAGGAGCATCGTTTGGCGTCGTTCTCACCATGCTACGCTTGGAAAGCCCGGCTGGCTATCCGTTAGAATGCTGAGCTCTCATGCGAGAAATCGCCAAGCTTTCCCATAGTAGTGCAAGAACTCAGTTTGAATAATGAACGCCATTCTCCTAATTTGGGAGTAGTCCCCAATCTCATTGAAATTAACCTCACCCTAAAAAGTGTCATGCAAGAACTAGGATAGGATGTCAAGGGAAAGAAATTCGATAGCAGCAAACAACACTAATTCGTATTGCTGGTGATTTTGTAGACCGCTTTAAGACTTCAATCGATACTTGAATAACATGATACCTTATAGGCGCAAACGAATAACCATTAACGTCCGGAGTCTTGCAAATATCTCAACATAATTGTAGTCATATTTCACATAATACCCTGCCGTGAAAAATCGTAGTAGGCAGCGAATAAAAAATTTTGATTCCAATAACTAGACTGCCTTACGAATGCAGCTCATCGAAATGGTGTACCCATCGAGTTCCTCGAGCAATCAAAACCCATTGAACGAAATCGGCGTGCTATAGGTACGAACAGAAGCTCCATCAACACCTGCCTCTCACACGAGAATCAACAGAAGATGAGGATGACCCAGTTGGCATTTCCTGGTTTGTTAAACTGACAATCAGTTAACTGGGTAAAAGGTGAAATCGGTACCAAGTAATATTAGCTATTAATAAGTAATGTTAATAAATAAAAATTGCTGGCAATTGAAAGGGTTGTGAAGAAACAGTAAGCATCAAAGTAACGGAAAGATTCAGTCGAATATTAGCAACTGCAATTTTTCCAATAATAATAATAATAATAATGTGTCGTTTTCTTGTTCAGCAATCGCGAGGTTTTTAAACAGCGTACATTTACTTCCATAGAAAAACACAATAAAATACAACACTAGTTGACGTTTCGGCGGTATCGCCTTCTTCAGAGCCGCTTTTTCGTGACTTAGGAAGGGCAGGTCTAGAGGAATCGGTAGCGATAGTTGAAATACCACCGACTACTCTACGTCGCCAATTAGTTCGCAACCGCCTGTATGACCGTCTGTGTGAAACAACAAATTGCGCCCTTACGGCAGGGACGGTGATTGCATGAGTTCAGGTACGATATACCTGATCTCGTGTAACAATTGCGGAGATGAATATATTGGCGAAACGGGCAGACCTTTATGTATCCGTATAAAAGAACACCTAGATGGCAAACGAAAACTAAGACGAAGCACCCCACTAGGCACGCATAGGATACAAAAGCATAGCGGAGACGATTTTGAAGTAAAAGTCAATATCCTTGCACAGGAGTCCAAAACACCAGCGCGAAAACTCCTAGAGGCTTTTTGGATAAAAGCCAAAAACCCTACAATGAATAGCAGCAATGAATGCCCAGAGGTCATACGCGAGCTGACCCTCTACGTTCGCATCGATTTCTGATGTGGGATGGTGCAGTCGTCAACCATATGCGACTATAATCAGCTGTTCTAAACTTCCTCATTGGAAGTCACGTAAAAAGCGGTGAGTTTTTCGAGAAGTTGTTGATCGTGTAATTACCAAAGAGTCTTTCATCTTTGTGTAAGTGTCATTGAAGCGTTTGGCCTAGTAGATCGTAGATCAGTATACCCTTCCAGGCTCTGAAGAAGGCGATACTGCCGAAACGTCAACTAGCGTTGTATTGTATTGTGTTTTTCTATGGAAGTAAATGTATGCTGTTTAAAAACTTCGCGATTGCTGAACAAGAAAACGACACATTCATATTCCAGTGACGAGGTTAATAGAAAGTCGATCCTTTGAATAATAATAATAATAATAATAATGATAATTTGACTTCATTGAGTATCGTTGGAGGTGATTGAACGCATATCTGGTCTATATAATGACTCGCGGTAGCCTGTCGATGTATCGAGCCAGCGTTGCTATTCTCCCAGACAAGTTTGGTACCAATTTGCCGACCCCGAAGGATGGAAGGCTTGGTGGGCCATTGGCGCAGGGATCGATCCTACGTGTGTGTTGCAGGGCGTCTCCAACCACTGCGCCACACCACACGTAGCCGTGATAATAAAAATGATAACCAACATGGTCACGTTCTCGATAACTCTGATTCTTCGCTGAATAGCATTTAAGGGATTGAGGACGTTTACGCTGTGGTTTTTCCAGTCGATAGGATCGGTGTACATATGGAATATCGTATATGTGTCCATATTTCGTTTCATTTATAAAAGTGGCGTTGGGCTAATAAATCTTGATTCTAATCGCTTATTAACTAGAGCCGTTCAATAACCCTGCAGCTTTTTTTGTTCATGGTAGAACAAATGCATTACCAAACGTTGAGTGACGGAGTGGTTGGTCCGCTTTGAGTGGAGTTGAGCCAGAGACTATGCGCACACACAGTAGTGGAACATCATTGTATCGCTGTTTTCCATGTTTATCATCAGTTTTCAGATATACTCGAGAATTCTGCTCATGAGAACAGTACGAAATCGTTGCGTTTGGCGCAGACTTACTATGACTCATGCATGAATGACGACGCGCAAAATGAATTGGTAGGAAAACGAAGATGTAAACACTCTAAACTACTTGTAGAAGATTGGGACGTATATTTGTAACTGTTCTATGCTAGCTGTCATTTTTGCACCACACCATTTGCTGATACGGTTGAACAAGCTTGTTTCATCATCATCTTTGAACCAACACGATTTAACCCTTTAGGGAGTCTTCTAGTGAACTCTTTATTTAACTTAGTACACCTTATTGCATTAAATGGTCAGAGTACAAAATACGAAATTAGCGATCGACCCAGGAGATGAAACATCAGGACTGCTTAGTCTGTCGGCATAGAAATTCGAAAACACCGCTTTAAAATTAATGAATCTTGAGCTACCATTTCAAATTTTTGCATCAAGAACTCTGGTCCCCATGACGCACTTCTTTCAAAATAATATTTCGTGTCTTATTAATCGATAATAGTACAAGGATCCCATTTCATTTTCTTATGAGGAATCTATGCATGGATTCGAGTAACACAGTTGTGCGATGTTTTTAACACGCGCAAGGTTCTGGGTAGATCCAACACAGACTGAACAAGTACGCATCCCTCTGGAGTGCTAAAATTGGTACCATGCATCTGCGAACAGTTGGATACATAGGGTTCACGAAGCCAAAATCCTGGGATGAGGATCTGGGAACGCCGTAGCTTGGTTATTTCTGTATTCCAGGAAGAATGGCCTCGACCAGTATTCAACAACATCTATAAGGGAAACTGAAAATTCTTTGTCAGCACACTAACACACACCTAAATGTGAAAACTTTTGCAGCCGGTGAATATCGGGAAACAAATGGAATGCAGACATTACTTGGATCCTTACAATGTGTGACGTCTGGTCACGTTGAAGAAATGAAACCCTATGACAACACCGGAATAACCTCCGTGGGTAAATAAATGCAGCAGCCTTCGAATTACCCTTCAACGATTTACTCCCTGTTGAGAAGCGTTTTATGGTATCAAACTGCGAGTTAAAAATAAAAAAGCGATAACAAAGATCCCATGCCGAGAGGAGAGGATGGACGACTGTGAACCATCGGTTCTTATCATCTGCTCTGAGGAAGGCGAGGACGTCGAAGCCTTAGCCGAATAAAGTTCATTTATCAACCTCGTGTAAGCTGAATAATTTAAACAAGTGTAAAAGAAAGTTTGACCCAACGGCACTGAAACTGTGAGGAACCATCCAGGAATAAAATTGTGGCAGTAGTTTCCATAATCTTAGAATAAGGCAGGTGGCAACGCGTCAAATATCCATTCGGTACAAATGCGTCGATGACAACCAGTAATAGTTGCTTGTAAAAGGGCCGATAATAAATAACAGCTGCAGACGATCCTTCTGCGAGAACACACAGCGGAGTAGGCAGAAGACGAACTTTGAGGCAGCTTAATAAAAGAGCGAAAAGAATCTCTGGAGAAATGGTGTTAGAAAATATGAGGTGCAATGCTCCGCTGCGTAAATTGATGAACCAGGATCAGGTTACTAACCTACCATCTACCACCATAACATGAAAATGATAATAGAAAATCTTTTCTCTGATCTTACCTGCTGGAAAATCTTCATATAAAGTAAGACACCCATTTGGTGAAAACTTTCTGGGTTTCTTTCTTCGTTGTCCGAGTTGCTATCATTGAGATGAGTCAGCGTTATGAAGTATACTATGTTCGAGGTGGTGCAAGGAATATCCTATAGCAGGTAAATGAGCTAAGTATTGCAAAGTACTTGGGATACAGCGCTCGATAGAAGCTATAGGATGTGGGCTATATTGGGTTTTAAGCGCACAAGAGAAGTATTCTGAACACAGTGGTCAGTTCTTTTCACGTAGACAGCTCGTGAAATGTCGTACACTAGTATATCTCGAGCGAGCACAACCCATTTCGACAACTTCTATCTTTGACAAGTCTAACAGCTTAACATTGCTGGCACCTCTTTGTATCACTCGACATTCAGTGCGAGAAACAGATAATACAGGTGACATTTGCAGGCGTGAAATCTTTCCAGTTGTTCTAACCTCTTCCGACTCTGAAAAAAGGCTAGATATCTTCAAAACCAACCCAGCGTTACTCGAAAAAGCGATCGTATTATTTCTATATAAGAGCTAAATGCTATAGCACCTTCGTAACGGTAATGCAATCATTTTATTACTTCTTACCACCCACATATAAAATAATCTGGGAAACAAGATAATACTGTTAGTAAAAATATATCTATTTAAATTGTTCCGCTTACGCGAGATTGTTAAAGTTATATGCTAACTACTCTAATACCGATTGCTGCAGGATCGATTGTCGACATGAAAAGAAATCATTATTAATTGACAGCTCGTCAACAATTGTCCTGTATGGAAGAGCGCTGCCGAGTGAGTTGCCTCTTTTGAGCACTGCTCCACTGAACAAGAATTCGATACGACGACAAAGACACCACATAGAGAAGATGAACGACTATGGACAATGACTGGGATCATCGACGCTGAGGAGACGAAGAGGTCGAAACGTTAGCCAACTAAAACCTATATAACAACCTCCTGTAAGCTGGACAATTCAAAGAGATATATTGATTATTGACGCCGGTGTTAAGTTCCGAGCCGAGGTCGGTTTAATAAGAGAGCTGTTAGTTCCTGCGCTGTAACAAACATAATAAACATGTGATCGTTGTTTTGATCCCGGCCCAAAAAGTGCTCTATCTCTCCGAAGTCGGCCAATTAATATTAGGTTTGTTTGGGAAGATAAAAAACAGATATTTGATACGTTGGTACACCATCGCAAGTCATTGTATGAGCCAGATATGTATTTAATCACATTTAGGGATGCTTGATGAAATGGAGTACAAGGCGCTTCTTTCATGATTTGATCAGCGCTGAAAGTTTGATCGTTTATCTCCTTACGCATATCCATCTGTCTCAACCTTTAGACGATATTTTCAAAAGCTTGACCAGCAAGTACAACTCTAAGCCAGGCTACGCAGTTCACACATGATGAGCAGAGTTGATGACAGAAAGACTGAAAAAACTGTAGAAATCTCGTCCTCCGTCCGACCGAGAAAGTGTTCAGACGTGCTTGATGCTGTTGTTGAACGGAATGATTTATTGATTACAGAATGACTGTCTTAAATACTCATCTCTTTAGTCAAGGAAAGCTGGTTTTCGAAGCATTTTCCAATCTTTCCATAACAACTACGATAGCTTTTTTGTTTTCCTGACGAGCGATCATGAAGGTGTTATTCTCGTTGAGTAAACACGAGCTGTTACTGTTATTACAATATTTAGAAATTATTCTCACAGGGCTCACAACCTCTGTTCACGCTGATTTCTCAAATGGGTGGCTGGGAACTCTTAACCAAAGCGCAGTTCGATCCTGCTCATTATCGATGGGAAATCACTGCAGGTAAGTGTTGTAGGTATGCAGTTGTAGTTCTCTTAAAAGTTCGAGTCTTAACCAAAAAGCACCTGAATCCTTTCGTCTTCCTTCTTTATTCTGTCGTCCTTCGAAACTTCGCTTAGTTGAATAACGTTGAGAAATTCCCCTATTTAACTCCATGGTCACAAAGTTCTAATTTCCAAGAAATTTGAAACTCTGACACTCTGGAAGTTTCTTGATTGTTGTAAGCGGTCAACGCCAAAAATTTAACATGGGAGGAAATTGCTACACGGAGTAGAGCGTTCATCTATGTACTAAACTGAGCTATGGATATGACGAAAGGAATATTTTGTAATTTTTTCTATTGTCACTTCAAATGCTTCGAGCAAAGCTGGCATGACTCATTAAAAAGATGATCCAAAAGTGAATGAAAGAAGTATAATTCGCCTCGTATTCATTATATGCAGACTGGTTTCCTGCCGATCGATAGTGTTGTATGCAGTGAACTCTCTATTGACCCATGTCGCTGGGGTCTTCTAGAAAAGTCACAATCATTGGGCCAGTGGTGTTTTTGTTGTTTAGTTGTGATCTCATGGAAGCCGTTTACGAAGGTGTCATGAGTAGATTCATTTAGCATGTTTGTAATTGCCGAATCACCTCTGATTCTCGATCGTCAGTCTTCTATGGAGCTTCTTTCTGCCTCTCCCTATGTCTCTCTCTGTTGTGATACATTATAATAGGAGGTTCAATCCGATTATTTGAAAAGGAACGATGTTTATGAAAAGCCTGAGTTTGACTGGGACACCAAAGTTCGCCAATTACTGTAATACTGCTTCCGTACTACGTTCTGAAAAACAGTTTCTTCTGTGTCGTAAATGGACGACATCTTGTCTTCTTGGCTAGTGCGACGAATACGACTTAGTCTTTTCAGGATGAAACGTCAGATTCTCAGTGGTGCTCAATATTCTTGAAATGTCAGTGCATATATATCGCAGGAACAATTTATCATCATCATTCGTCTAGATTCATGCAACCTACAATATCTTTTTGATTCTAGAGGTTTTTCTGCGTTTATACCATACCTAGCGCTTCGCCATCGTATAAAGTCATACCTAGCGCTATCGTATAAAGATATAAAGAGCTCTTTTGAGACCATCACACATTGCCTGTTGATCCCTTGGCCATCGAGTGACTCGATCGCGCTCCAGTAAATCTTAAGTTTCTCCTCTTCACCCACAAGAGTTGGGACTAGGGACTCGTCCAGCACAATGACGTCGCTCTAGCATTTTTGTGAAGGCAGTCAGCTCATCGAATGTGGTCCTACTGCTGTGTGTTTGACATCCCGAGGAATCCAGTTACTAACGGCTCTAGTCCAATGGTTGCCGTTAATGCGAACACGTGTCTGGACCACCCTATCTTTCACAATTCGGCATACAAAGCGCTTTATTTCGTTTTTCGTCATTGTAGTAGGCCGGAGCCTATGAACCCCTCTCACATTCGCATTATGTGGTATGCTCTTATCATCGTGCTTTCGATTGAATGTTATATAACGCTGACTTTTCATTGTGCTTACTCATCGAGTAGGTATTTGACACATAAGTTAAGGCAGGAAGAATCATGGAAACGAAAAGTTGGGCATGTCGTAAGGTATTATTTATTCTCCGACAACATCCTCAGTGTCCTTAATGCTCCTCAATCCTCTCACTTAATTCCCCTCAATTTTAGAGCAGTTTCGTCAATCATGAGTTGCTGGTTGTCTACAGCTCATGCGATGGATTCTAGTGCGATTTCATTCATCATGAGTTGGCGTATCCTTTCATGGCGCTTAGCTGAAGATGGTGTGTAATGCAGTCTTATTCGTCGTCGGTGTCATCAGTATCGGTGACTTCTCAAAAGCCGACTAACGAAGAGAATAAATCCCGGTTAATGGTGCTTTTGGGACTTCGTTTTTTGAATTTAGCGGTTTTTCTCCTTTCCGAGAGAAATGAGCTCCTACATGAAGAAAGCGATGGTCTGAACCCGTGTAGAACACAGGGACAACAGAGACATATGATAGGCAAAATTTTCGATTTACTATGATGTGGTTTGTTTCGTTATGGTACTCTCCATTGGAAGACTCCCACGTCCAGCGTTGAGAGTGAGGTTTCTGGAATTGCGAGTTACCGTGGATGGTCTTCGTCGCCATGATCAACTCAGATAGCCGCTTACCCTGCTCGTTCCATTCTAATCCATGGGTCCCAATGTGACGTTATTCTTGGTCTAATCTTGGCGTTGAAATCTCCAAAGACCTGAAGACCTGAAGAATGTATGGTGTTCTCTGTAGAACTTCTCCAAGTCCATATAGAACGCTTCGACTTCTTTTTCATCATAGTTTGATGTCGGCGCGTAAACGACGAAGATTGTCAAAGCCAGCATTGGTCCCCGGCGGTCCTACCCATTGCCGCCGTGTAGGACGTTATCTCAGGGTTAGTGAGTTGAAGCCCGCTTATTTTGGTGTGTTTACTTTTCGATACAGAAGTATGCCTTGCTGAGCTTTGAACGTGGAGACTGGAAATACTCACGGGTAGTTTGTGGGAATAAAGTGGAGTGGCCATAGAGCATTTTCTTGTAGTTACCAACCTCCTCCTCCCACGCATTCCTCGGTCGCTTGTTTGCAGAATTTTCGCCTGCATATCAGAAACAGAGACCGTCTTTTCTGATTTGTTAGCGTCTCTGTAAAAGAATATGGTTACTTTTATTCCATGTTTAAACTGGTGTCGAACACCCAGCGTGTAAATATACAGTATATGTGTCCCTGTATTAAGGGGAATTCGTGTTTTTCAAAAGAAAACTTTTAAAGTACCCAATCTTTTCTTGTTTGCAGTTGGCCCGAAACGTGCATCAGTTCTGCGTTATTGGTATTAGTATTTCTTTCAAACAATAGTTTTGAGCTTTGCTTGACTTCCACAACCAGCAAACTGCACACTTTGACGGCAGAATATCGAACAGTTTTTGATTTAGGACAGTTGGCTGCAGTTGGAGCGGAAGGTCTTATCAAAGTGTTCGTGCACAGCAGTTTCGAGGATCGGAACACTCAAACTCTCATGGTAAGAATTCTCAACCTATCCACTTTAACTCAATGACTACGGTGGTGAACACTTTAGTTCTGCCCGCCAAGACTTTTCCTGGAAAAGAAGAAGTTTTATCGGAGTGCCCCGTCAACAAACACATTGCTTGCTTACTATAAAAACTACATCAAAAGCCTCTTGGGACTCCTCGGTCAGACAGACTTTTTATTGGTTGAAAACTAGTAAAGTACAAATTAGTCAATAACAAATAATAAGTAAAAGTATATAGTGAGAAACTTGAGAAGTGACAATCCTCTTTACCGCTCCTTTCGAATAAGGTGATTCTCCAGTTATTCAACTCTTGAGCTCTCGAAATATTCACCACTTCTTAACAAAAAACAAGTAGACAAACATTTGAGGAGTCAACTAATTAAACATTTCAATTTTCAACTTCTTTCACCTTCTGTTAAATATTCATCAAGTTCGAATATTCGAGAATAGGTGTCTTTCCAGTGATTTGACATTCTTGCAACGATGTTGACTACAGGGTTCATTCTGTAGGCGTCGACATGGACGACAACGCTGGTGTCATCGAATACCAAGTTAACGACATCATAGACTTTGAAAGAAGAATAGCAAATGCAAGTATCACCACTTTTGTCTCCAATAACTAAAATGACAACATTAAAACTTGTAAAGGAAACCTGCTGTGCGATTTCGTCTTAGGCCTTTGTTTTTGGTTTCATTCATCAAACATTCAAATAACCGTAAGCATGCTGAGCTGTGGGAAAAATTCGGAACCTCAGATTGGCTTCAACCCACGGCTACCCTTGACACAGGCTCGCGTAAGTAGAGAATGCTAGAAGGGATTGCAAAGTAAGGGCCTCGACTGGTGAGGTGAATAACAAGTGGTTCCCCGGTAAGTATAATCGGCGGTTCGAAACCCTTCTTGAGTTCCGTGTTTTACTGATATCTGAGCATCCTTATGGTTGTAATTCAAATCGTACCCTACCGTGGAGAAAGAATAGGCTGTAAATGAGAAAAATTAAAAAAATCAAACATTTGGTTCATCGACGTTTCTTGAACGGTTTTACACTAAGGACACTTGTCGTCACTGCCTCGGTTGATGTGGTGAAGTCACGAAATTTGCCTCATAACTCAAAGGTCTCAGGAAAATTCGGCTAAACACTTTTGATTCCATATTTTGTTAGAGTAGTTTCTTTTCACTACGTGAAGAAGTGAGCCGTTGTTCTGTCAGCACTACTTAATTAAACGTTTGTTTTACAACGCATTAAGACTTTATTAGAGGTTTTCACCTGATCAGATTTGCTTACGGCATTTGATATTTTTTGAATGCATTCCGTGTTTTGAAATAAATATGGGGTCTAGTACTAGCATTTAGTATTTTGGAATTTTCGTTTGTCATGGGACAATTTTCCGTGCCGGAAAATTTAACAAACTCTCGGACAGCCAGCACTCAAGATCGATAGAACTAGCTGAGAGACAGGCGAAACGAAGGACCCACGTGGTGTGGTGCTGAACGCGCTACTCCCCGGAGAGGACAATAGCGCGTTCGTTCCCACCGCATACACCTGCAGTCCGGAGTTTTGCAAATATCTCGGCATCATTGAAGTTATACTCAGCTGTTTGGTTCAGATCTCTCGTTCCGACAGCATACGTAATCTTTCCGCTATCAGCAATGTGATGACCTATGCGGAATTTCGTGCACGCTACCCTGAAGTTGGTCGATTCTCGTTATGAATGCGATTTTTTGTCTGATTCTTCATAGCACCTTTCATCAGTTCATTTATTTCTTCATCTCCTCATTCATCAGTTCATTTATTTCTTCATCTCCTTATCTCTTCCTTAACATGAATCTTTCGCAAACATCCAGCTGTATCCAGGATTCCCTTATCGCTTGTTGTTTGTTTTCTTTATTACTAGCGTCCTGCACAACTGAATCCATATTTTTATCATTGTTACGTGAAATTCCCGAGCTTTATACTAGCCATTAAACAGATTCATATTCAGATACGATGGCAACTGTTCTTCAATGAAGAACTTCGTTCAAGCTTGGGCGTGCTTGACGATGACGTGACGGTGAATGTAATGGATGTCGGCTATTTCGACGGCCTATCAGCGCTAGTAAAATCAAAGCCACTCAGGTGGGTTGGTCTAAATTTTAGTATGACTTCATCTATTTTTTGCATTTTTTAATTTATTTGTTCATGTGCTAACTTGGTATGAAGTACTTCTGCCCCACCCATTCTCACGAACGTTCTTCAACCTCACTGTAGCTGGTTTGTTTTCCTGACTACCAAGCTGCAATGTACAGTAGGTATTTGCTTCCTAGAATAAACCACACGAGATGAGAAGTATTTCGACGTTTCTATACGGAAACAAAACTATGAGCAAACCAATTCCCTCACCTTCATTCAAGAAAAAGCATAATTGGATGGTGGAAAACCTTTCTCCAATCTGAAAGGACCGTCAAGTGGATGCTATGACGATCTGGAACCGCAGCACTAAAGATTTTTAGATGCACTTAGGAATAGAACTTCCGAACTCTAAAACGTGCCAGTTAAATGGGAAATGTACTGGAACCCTCGTGATTCTTCGTAAAGGTGGGCCACTGATGTACCGCATTCGTTTCCATTAACCACTGCTTAAGATGGTTACATAAGTAACCACGAGAAACAGAAGATGAGCGTGTAAAAAGTTTTCCATTTGTCTTTAAAAGAGGAATCACCGAACAATAAAAGAAATCACTACTGTTGTCTAATTAATATTGCAAATCACGTTTTTGCTCATACAGTTCCATCAACAATTACTTGATGTGGCGATTGGTGTCGACATTTGATATGTACCTACCCATGCAGTACCGTCGTCCAGCACAAAAGTTCTATGCCAGCGTGTTTGGCACCACAGCCGAGGTTAGACTAGGTCGTTTTTATTTAAACTGGAAGTGTCACGAACAGATTTCGACCATGTTGTCGCAATATTCAAAATAGACCACTTGGACTCCCCTGTTGGCTGGTGATCAAGTACACGATCGACTAGACATGAAGACCGTGGTGTCGATTTCGTTTCACATCTCAGTTCGTTTCCTTCTATAAAATGCACATGCAGTATAGTGGTTCATGCCAGTGCACACAGGGTCGGTGATTTCATCCTAACACCCAGGAAAACCAAGTTCTACTTTCTTTGATGGTTGAGAAAATGCTACCGTTTGAGAGAATGAGAACATTGGCGTTTCATATGACTACAATCACGCAAGTCACTGCATAGGTCAGGTAGGAACTAAATCGCCTTTACGATGCTTAATGAAGTCGAGCGCTTAAGGTAGGAACTCATGAGCGCCTGACGTTTATTTTTTTTATCGCTTAACCATCTCTTCTGATTCTTTTCCACTCAGGATCCACAATGGGAGCACTGTATTCGTGAGGTCGTCGAAAACCTCGCCATGCCTCTTTCCACTGCCTATGCAAGCTCATTTTTCTCGACCGAAAACAGAAATAAGGTAATTTTACCACTGTTCTCAATATCAATATCGCTTACTTTAAATGTACCGAATAGCTTCAGTAATATGTAGATCCAGTTTTAACTTTTTGTTTACCGACTTATTTTCCATTGCAATCACACTGAAAGAGCCCTAATGAATTATCAAAGAAGCAGTCAACGTCGTGTCGGAACAAAATTTTGCCCATAAAAATGAAATAAGAAAAATTTAAAGAAGGAATAATTAAGGAAAAGTGATAACGGAAAGTCAGTTGAAAAGAAAGGCATTGATAAACAGAAAATCTACATGAATTTTCCTAGTTGTTGCTTACAGTTGCGATTTATAGGCCGAAGAAATGATAGCAGATCTGAAACGATCAATGGAGAGAGTCCTTCTGGACGCAGATTGGATGGACGATACGGTCAAGAAAGTTGCGCTTAGAAAACTGAAGAATATGCGCTACAAAACTGGGTAGGCGGACCGGCTGTTGAGATTTCTTAAAATGAATTTGGTCGCAATTACAGTTTTCCAAATATGATGAGAGATGAAATCGCTGTACTCAAGCTCTACGAAGGGGTGAAGATGGAAGCCGACCACTACTTCGATAACGCTCTACAATTAAAGAAGTTGGCAATAAGGTGATGAGAACTCCAAAATGGAAATTTCTTGCTGAGCAGTACAGCAGACCCCTTCGTGTTTGTGAGATTTTCCGTTAGGTCATAACCATAGGAACTTGTGTGTTTTTTTTTAGAATTGAATGCGTTGATGGACTAAAAGAATTGTGAAAAACTGCGTCCAAAGCTCAACTATAGAATCGGTCGTTAACTTTTTATCTTCTACCTACTATAATTTTCACGGCATGGTATGATGTGAGATACAATCACAACGGTGCTGAGATATTCGCAAAAAATAGAAAATAAAATGTTAGCATTGTATTTTTGAATACAGCCTCAGCTTACCTGAGTTCAATGCCGATTCATGTTGCCAAGATTAATACCGCTGACGGGTGATTGCTGATGGCAGGGTTAGGTGGAAAACTGGCTGAGAGAAACGCATGGCAAGGACCTCTGTGGCGCAGTGTGTAATGCGCGTGCCTCCGGAAAGAAAATTCGTGGCTCCATCTGGCCTAGGGTCTAAATTTTGCGAATATCTCAGCATCGTTGTGGTTATAGAATTCGTTGTTTTTCATTAATACAACGTATCTGTTTTGTTGTTGACCAAGAAGGCTCCACAAATTCATTGATTGATTTGTTTCACTAGAACTACTCAGTAAGGAGTCGGTGAAAAGGAAGCTCTCTCTTTCAGGCATGGCTTAAATCGCCTTCACAACCCTCCATCTAAGGACGAGTGGGTTTCTCCTGTAATTGCTGTCGACGCTTATCATTACTTCACTGGGAATGAAATAAGTGAACAGCCTCTCAACAATTCATTGCTCAACATAAAATATCTGAAATATTTTCACCAGATGTCAAAGAACCGTTTGATCTGTCATGAAGTTAAGCGAAATAGCTTATAGCAGAAATGAAAGATATCGTTGATTATAGTTCCTTTTGAGAAAGCTCTGCCTAGAATAAGTTCCTATAGCGATGTCTGTTCAGTTTTTCCGGCCGCAATTTTGCAATTTCCGATGTTCGTACCCGAAGCTCCGGTCTACGTCAATTATGCGGCCATCGGTTTCGGCATAGGGCACGAAATTACTCACGGATACGATGACCTCGGTGGAGAATTTTACACTGGCGTGGAGTGTCTAGTTCCAGGGGAACATGCACGTATTTTTCAGGATCACAGTACGACGAAATTGGCAATTTGAGAGCTTGGTGGGATCGGCGTACGTTGGCGATGTTTCAGAAGAAGCGGGAGTGCTTCATTACGCAGTATAGCAACCAGGTTGAGCCAACAACACAGAAAAATGTAAATTCGTAGTACTTTTTACTCGAATATGAGGTGGTGCCTTCAAATCCCCATTCGTCGCGAAGAATTGCAGGTAGATGGTCGTCTCACAATTGGAGAGAATATTGCCGACAATGGTGGACTACGGGTAGCGTATGAGGCAAGGATCACCAGGAATTTCCTCTCATACACGGATCTTTTTCTTTTCCTTTCAGGCGTACAAAATGAGATGTTTGCTTGAAGAAGACACCCTGGCGTTGCCGGGATTGTCGTTCTACTCACCGGAACAGTTATTCTTCATCGCATTTGCTAATGTGAGTTTTTTCTCCGTTGCATAGACTGTAATGATTTTTGGAAATTCTCTACTCAGATATGGTGTGAAAAAGTGAAACCGTCAGCATTAAACTACACCATGGAAACTGAAGTGCATCCGCTCGGAATGTTTAGGTGAGTGTTGCCTTTCCTTCCAATCATCTTTTAGATCCACAACGCTCACACTGCCTTTCGCTTCACTATGGGGTGATTTGGTGTTATACACTCCTTATCACCCAGGTTGTTGAGTGTTACCGAAGCCCCTCCATCAGACTTTTATTCAGTTCAATCATCAGTACACCACATTCTACTCTGAATTGTTGTGATTTTCGTTTATAATTACTTGTTGTAATAGAAATCGTCTTTCAGCGATTTTGTTGTCGGCTGCTGCAACATTTTCCATTGAGATGTTGATCTATCCTCTATGATAACCATTCTATTCAGGGTTAATGTACCACTCCAGAATTTCCCTCCTTTTTCGGAAGCTTTCCAATGTCCGGTTGGAAGCGCTATGAATCCGCACAAGAAGTGTAGAATATGGTAGTATAGAGAAGAGACAAATTTCCTTGAAAAAAAAGATTCAGTGAATCCATTTTGAATGGATAGTGGTTGTACAAATTCCAAACGAGTGTAGAACGAAAGATCTTCCTGACTTGTCAATTAGGAGTTGTCTCATTGTTGCATTTTTACGAGACTCCCTTGTTTTTAACGCAGAGCGCAGAATCTCTTTAATGCCAGTCCATCAAATAAGCTCTCGATGTACTTCCTCAGCGTTTTTCTCTTCTTTCTATGAGCATAATGGTTAGTGCGCATCTCATAATTTCCAAAGTGTTGGTGAAATTTCCACATCTCACCTTGTTGTTCTTTTTATTGCCAATGATTCTCTTTGTATTGATCGATTTGAGTTGAAATAGTGACCGATCTTTGTCTTTAATGATCCTAATTCTTTAGAGTGTTTTTGAATTAATCTCGTTTCGGGTTTGGGCTCAATAAGCTCTGTGCTCCCATTGAGATACCTTCTTTTCAACGGATTCATTGCTCACATAGCCGATTGTTTGACGTCGTGTGTTGTAAGATGGTACTTGTTTCTTGTAGATAAAGGTTAATCTGGTAAATATTTTTTGAGTAGCGTTGATTTGCAAAATAGAAGAAGATTCTAAGGTAGCAGAATTAAACTGGGCAATAAAAGTGGTATAAGCATTATCCATTGAGATTTCAGTGCATTTCAAAAGTTTTACGTTTTGCTAGAACTCCAATGAGGACTTAGCTTCCTGTTGCTCCTATAAATGTTTAGCACACATAGCATTGAGTTCCGCTAAGGTCGCGTGTTACGCAGTGGTCGGAGGCGCTCTGCAACATACACGTGGAATTGATCCCGGTGCCCATGGCCCACCAAGCCTTCCATCCCTCCGTGGTCGGCAAATTGGCACCAGACTTGTCTGGGAGGATAGCAGCACTGGCTCAATACATCGGTGGGTCACCGTAAGTCGTTGTAAAGGTCAGATACGCATCCAATCACCTCCAAGCGATACTTAATGAAGTCGAGTGCATGGCGCATCCCTCAGTAATTGATCAATACCGAGAGCTTTATTTAGCTTACCATTGAATTCCACTGATACACGGTGTCTGTTGTATGGGACCACATATGCTCTTTTCCTTGTCCTGTCTTTCTTGTACGGTACTCGTTTTCTTCGGCCAACAAAAAAAGCGTTCTCGCTGTTTCGAATACCAGTGGTTCTGTAGGATTGAGAAGTTTTTCACAATCATCAGCGATGTCTCTCGAGATATTGGTTATGCACTTGAAGAACGTGCAATGCCCTTAGATTTAGGAGCAGAAATTTTTAAACTACTGGCTTTGATCTCGTCCTTGTCTTTGAAATTTCTTACTGAAAATGAAGGGCTACGGAAAATGAAATGACTGCCAGCTTTTACAACTTTTTTGCCCAATCATCACCTGAACTCTTCATGGCCGGGTGTGATGTGACGCACTGATCTAACTTTTCTTTAAACTATTCATAACAGACGTCGAAATTTAATATAAATTAAGCAGGGTTTTCTCTGATGTGCTGCGCTTATATAGAAGAAAAATTTTCCATCTGAAGCTAGCATTCGCTTTGGAAATAAACTAGCTTCAGATTGACCCAACAACGAAGGGAAGACAAGGACTTTTTTGAAGCTTTTAGTTGGCATTCTATTGATGAAGAACGCAAATAAAAAAGTACTATGGAGAGTTATTATTTATTATGCATAACCTGACATTATATGCTGCGCGAAATCAGCACTTTTTACCCGATTCGTTTCTCACAACTATTTCCCGCGGACTTCTTAAGATTATGTCTGTGGCTTCATCTCTTCTTCGTAAATATCACCAATTCCTGGTCCATTCAACTCTCTTTGGAATCCTGTGATAACCTCGAAAATGAGTTTTTCACGGCTTCCATCACAGGCAAGCTCCACATTCTGTGGCTTGGGTGAGGAGTACTGACACAGTCCAGTCAGAAACCACTTTGTCAAGGTGATGGTAACGGATGAATGATTTATCCTGGATCGAACTAAGACGTTGCAAGTATGGCACGGCATCACTACCACTGCGTTACCCAAACCACATGCATGATTCTACAAATTATTTTCGAATCTTAGATGGCACCATCTAACACTATTTTCATTTCTCTTTTTTAATATCTTCACGTTACAAAATATCATGTTTTTAACGAAAAGTGTTTAAAACGCTATAACTTCCTTAAATTTCAAATTGTCGGTTAAAATAAGATCCGCTAAACCTAACACACTTTCACCAATATGCTAACAGGTCTAATAGCTTTATCTACATTGAAGTTCGAATCTCTAAAGCCAACAACGTTGTTAGCCTTTTATTTTTCTACTTGATTGACAAATTATGCAATTTTGCGTTGTATACTGAATGGCAGAATGAACGGGACCTTATTACAGCTCCAGCTATCGTTTCGGGGCTCGGATTTTTACTGTGCACCTATCCCGAGGAGCTACACCTACAATGCCTCTATTTCTTGCTGTTCGCTCCTATTTAGCGCATGAACTTTTTTTGTGAAGTCTATCCTGAAGTTCATGCGAACAACATTTGACCCTAGCAAGAATACCTTAAAAATGGATAGATGTGAGAAACATTAGAATTACTTCATCGAACGAAGACATTTATACGATGTTTGTAGACCACGGAAGATAGCCAACGAGTACTGGATAAATGCTATGCGCCTGTCTACCAACTAAACAAGATCAGATGTTCGGCAAGAAATGCGTGGCGTAGGAACACCACTGTGGTCAGTGTTTGGAGGACTGCCTGTGGAGGAGAACAGTGCATGGATCCGTGTTGATATGCAACTCTATTAGGTTTAATGCTGAAGTAACTTTGCTGTGAAAAATCAATGACCTTTTGAGTAAATCGCATAGCACGACTTCAATAAGGTATAGAAACACCGTTAACGAAGACCTAATGAGTTATAGTAGGGTAATTGATGTGCCAGAAAACCCAAGACGCTGTGGTAGGAGGCATGTCTCTCCATGACCAAGAGCGCTCGAAATTGCAAATGAGCCCAAGTTTCTCACCAACTCCACCCATTTTAAGGCACCCTTGCGTAGTGTCGCGTGTTGTTCGCATGAACTTCAGGGTTGACTCCGCAAAAAAGCCAGAGCTAAATAGAAGCAAACAACAAAAAGTAGGGACATTACCACTCCTGCCATTTTCTCAACGGATATCAAGACCCTAGCAGTGAAGTTGGTGTCAAGCTTTCGATATTCTTACGAACATCCAGATATTTCTGGATCTACGTAACGCTCTTCCTAACAGCGCGTGCATGATGGAACGAGAGAGCATTAAATATGTATGGCTTCACGATTCAGCAGTTGCTGGCCTTCTGGAAGAAGTGCGCAAACTGCTCAATCTTCAGATGGACCACAAAATATTACGCACAAATGAGAAAGTCAGCAATGGAACAGCGAAGCGACTGGCACCAAGCTTTGCCATGCATTTCAGTCCAATGTGGAAGCATCACTAACCGATCTCCGGCAGTTTACTTAGATATATAGACGATTGCTTTGCCATTTTCTCAGCACAAGAGCAAATGGACAAATGATTTGAGTTATTGAACAAATAAGTCTACCCGAGAAAAACCGAAGCAAAGGTAGCTTTCATTTCTAACCCTTCAAATTAGCCTAATGAAATGGCACCGAAACGCGAGTAGTAAAAACATAGCGGTTCATTACCTCTCCTCTCACCCCTCACGCACCAAAAGGACGCTTGTAAGAAATAATATGTTTCGAATAATCAGCAGCGTCTGCACAAGAAGAGAGCAGAAGGAAGAATCCTTGAACTGGTGCCGCAAACAGCTATTTCGAATGGCTACGAAACTGTAGCTCTTCGGAATAGGTGTAGAGTAAAAACCCGAGACCCAAAAGGGTAACCTTAGCGATAATAAGGTCCCTGTTATTTTAGCCCTCATTTCCAACGAAATAAGTACAGCTATAAAACGTTTTTTTAACAAGAGCCTGTTAGAGTGATAGAAATTCCGTTAGAGTGATATAAATACCATCGGACACTCTAAGACGCCAGCTAGTTCGTAATTGCCTGTATAACCGGCAAAACGCAAAACTGCATAATTTGCCCTGACGGCAGAGACGGTGATTTCATGAGTTTGGGTACGGTGTACGCAATCTCTTGTAAAGTGTGCTGGGACGAATACATTGGCGAAGCGAGTAGCCCACTCTGCGTCCGTATAAAAGAAAAACGAGTCGCTAAACTTAGAGTTAAATGAAATACTTGACTAGGCGCCCACCGAACGCAGACATGAAGGGAAGGATTCAGAAGTGGAAGTTATGATCGTCCTCCTAACGAATCCTGACCGTCCTACGCTTTAGATTCCCATAGAAAACTGGAAGAATCGCTTCCATACCTTTTACGGAAGAAAGCTAAGAGTTTACACAAATGATTCGTGCTAACGGTTCCTATGTGCTTCTCTTCCGGTCCGTCAAGGGCAATTCCACACCGCACCAAGCGGCGACCGCCGACGCTCTCTGCGTCCATGCCTCGACTCTCATCGTCGGATTCACTCCTCTCTCGTCATATGGGGTCAGCCTGGCCCGCTCACTCAGAAGCCTTACATCCATGCGGGTCTACCTAGCACTTTTTCCGGTATTCTATTGATCTCGAATCAATGCCTTTGTTGGTGCCGTGAATTTTGGCGCGGTTTTGTTGATAACCTCACTTACTTGCTTGGGTACTTGGACACGGCCCGTACTCACTAGTTGTGCGGACCTCAGCATATTCTCCATTTTTCGGAGTTTTACTGGTTTAGCCATTATGGTTCCCTGGAGTCTCGAGGTTAGCCAAAGTCTGCCTCAGGTCTTCACCACCAAAGGCAGTCGCGGCTCTTGTGGATCAGAGCGAGATTTGCCACTATGCGATACCAGGACGGTGGTGGATACTGGTATTGGTTTACGCTTAGCTAACGGGAGACTCTGTCGGGTGGACGAATCTCCTGCTGCACATTGCACATTTTTTTACACTATTTAAAGTTGTCTATTTTAATCTACGCGGTGTATGCTTACATAGGATGCAGTGCAGAACAGTTGGGTCATCTTTGCCGTGTTTCCTGTCGTTTGTATGTGTTTTACGTGAATGGCTTTCCTTTCTTATTAATTAAGCCTGAGCGGTTGCGAAGGGCTAATCTGTCCAAGTTTCGGTGACAACTGGAGAGACTGCGGTATTCTGAGATTCTGTAGTTTTTTTATTTTTTATTTTTTGAAACATAATCTGATGCAGTTGGATCCGGCCAAATGTCCGAAGTGATTAACCGTCGATGTTGTTCTACAGAAAGAACTATTCTGTTTTTTAATTCACGGTTTTGCTTATATGAGTTGTTGAATGGTTTTCTTGGCCAAGAATCGTTCTATCCCCATGAGCACCACATTTCCTCGAGTGCATTCTGTAGTACTCGTTGGACAGGTGTCGGGAGGTGAACTGCTTGAATGCAATCGCGTGTAACTGAAACGGTCTTTCGTTAAGTGCCATATATTGCGAAGGCAAAGAGGCCTGTTCCTCCATCTTTTATATGATGTTTAAAGTTCTTTATCTGATATCCGTGCTGTTTTCCCTCTTTTCTATATATAACGGCTAAAATTAGCGTTAGCCTAAAATGATTCAAGAGTGGTTTTTTTTCCTTTTCTTCTTTTCTCTTGTTACTCCTTGATGTCCTTCTAATTACTTACTTGATACTTGAATGACCCGTCCTCACTGGTTGTGCGGGCCTCAGCAAAATCTCCGTTTTTCGGAAATTTGCTCGTTAAGCCATTATGGTTCCCTGGAGTCCCGAGGTCAGCCTGGCCAAAGTCTGCCCCAGGTCTTCACCACCACGGACAGTCGCAGCCCTTGTGGATCAGAAGGAGATTTACCACCATGCAACTTTGATACCACGACGGTGGTGGGTCATGGTATTGGTTTACTCTTAGCTAGGTTTCCTGATGGAAACGCCGGACTCATTCTCAGCTTGGGAGACTGCCAGGGGATGAATCCCCAGCTGTACATCGTAGTCCGACACCCAGGAACACCTCCCAGCAACGATGAGGCAGTAAACTGTTGAGAGAACCTTCTAATTACTAATTGTACTACTAATCGTCTACTAATCGTACCTTACTATCCTTTTCTCCATCCACCATCTTCTTATTTTTCTGTGTTGAAAGTTGAGAGCTCTATGTATCCCTGAACTGAATCCTAAACGCAACCACCTTCAAGGAAGATGAGAGGGTTGTCGTGATGGAGGATGCAGAATCAGTTGAATATGTGAATACTGCTTGAGGTAGGCACTACATTCAGTACTGAGTGCCAGAGACCAAAAATTTTCTTCTGATACCGAGAAAACCGACGACTGTTTTCGAAAAACTTCTCAA